CATATAACGGTCACACAGGACATATAACTTCACACAGCGCATATTACGTCACGCAGGACATATAACGTCACGCAGGACATATAACGTCACACAGCGCATATAACGGCACACAGCCCATATAACGTCACACAGCGCATATTACGTCACGCAGGACATATAACGTCACGCAGGACATATAACGTCACACAGCGCATATAACGTCACACAGCGCATATAACGTCACACAGCGCATATAACGTCACACAGCGCATATAACGTCACACAGCGCATATAACGTCACACAGCCCATATAACGTCACACAGCGCATATAACGTCACACAGCGCATATTACGTCACACAGCGCATATAACGTCACGCAGCGCATATAACGTCACGCAGGACATATAACGTCACGCAGCGCATATAACGTCACGCAGGGCATATAACGTCACGCAGCGCATATAACGTCACGCAGCCCATATAACGTCACGCAGGGCATATAACGTCACGCGGGGATATAACGTCACGCAGCGCATATAACGTCACGCGGGGCAGGGGATTATGAGTTGTGGCTAGAGCAGTGTAACTGCCCCCTCCCCCAGTGTTACTTTAATACCCAGGCTGATGACGTCATAGCCCGGCCACTCTCCACATTCTCTGTCTGGCTGTCCCAGGCTGATGACGTCATTGTGTTAACTAAACATGCCCCATCACTTCCGGTGAGTAGCGGCATCAGCCTGGGGGCTGGACGCGGGTGGACCAACATGGCGGACGGATATTGCGCTATACTCGGAGTGCCCGTGACGTTCCGCTCCGTGATTGGTTCCTGATGGGCGCCGTGACCGCGGATCGCTCTCTGATTGGCTCCCGAGTGGATGGCCGCATTGTATGACGGGAGAGAGAAAACATGGCTGCGGAGCCGAGTAAAGCCGATATTCAAACTGTGTTCAAACGGCTCCGGGCGGCCGCCACCAACAAGGTGAGAGACGGGGGGAGAGGGAGAAGGAGAGGGAGAGCGGTGTGTGACCGGCGGTGGGAGTCTGAGTCCCGGCTCACAATGTGTCTCCATAGCAATGAATGGAGAATTGTGCTCCTACTCCCATCACTCTCAGCCAGCAACAGCCACCACTGGACCACTACTCCCATCATCCTCAGCAACCAGGGATAATAACCCTGACTGCCCTAACACTATAACAATAGAACCCTGACTGCCCTAACACTATAACACTATAACCCTGACTGCCCTCACACTATAACAATATAACCCTGACTGCCCTAACACTATAACAATATAACCCTGACTGCCCTAACACTATAACAATATAACCCTGACTGCCCTAACACTATAACAATATAACCCTGACTGCCCTAACACTATAACAATATAACCCTGACTGCCCTAACACTATAACAATATAACCCTGACTGCCCTAACACTATAACAATAGAACCCTGACTGCCCTAACACTATAACAATAGAACCCTGACTGCCCTAACACTATAACAATAGAACCCTGACTGCCCTAACACTATAACAATAGAACCCTGACTGCCCTAACACTATAACAATATAACCCTGACTGCCCTCACACTATAACAATATAACCCTGACTGCCCTAACACTATAACAATATAACCCTGACTGCCCTAACACTATAACAATAGAACCCTGACTGCCCTCACACTATAACAATAGAACCCTGACTGCCCTAACACTATAACAATATAACCCTGACTGCCCTCACACTATAACAATAGAACCCTGACTGCCCTAACACTATAACAATATAACCCTGACTGCCCTAACACTATAACAATATAACCCTGACTGCCCTAACACTATAACAATATAACCCTGACTGTCCTAACACTATAACAATAGAACCCTGACTGCCCTCACACTATAACAATATAACCCTGACTGTCCTCACACTATAACAATATAACCCTGACTGCCCTAACACTATAACAATATAACCCTGACTGCCCTAACACTATAACAATATAACCCTGACTGCCCTAACACTATAACAATATAACCCTGACTGCCCTAACACTATAACAATATAACCCTGACTGCCCTAACACTATAACAATATAACCCTGACTGCCCTAACACTATAACAATATAACCCTGACTGCCCTAACACTATAACAATAGAACCCTGACTGCCCTAACACTATAACAATAGAACCCTGACTGCCCTAACACTATAACAATAGAACCCTGACTGCCCTAACACTATAACAATAGAACCCTGACTGCCCTAACACTATAACAATATAACCCTGACTGCCCTAACACTATAACAATATAACCCTGACTGCCCTAACACTATAACAATATAACCCTGACTGCCCTCACACTATAACAATATAACCCTGACTGTCCTCACACTATAACAATATAACCCTGACTGCCCTAACACTATAACAATATAACCCTGACTGCCCTAACACTATAACAACAGTAGAACCCTGACCGGCCCTAACACTATAAACACAGTAGAACCCCTGACCGCCCTAACACTATAACAATAGAACCCTGACCGCCCCTTAACACTCATAAATAATAGAACCTGACCGCCCTAACACCATATATAAATAATATAACCCCTGACTGCCCTCACACTATAACAATAGAACCCTGACTGCCCTAACACTATAACAATATAACCCTGACTGCCCTAACACTATAACAATAGAACCCTGACTGCCCTAACACTATAACAATAGAACCCTGACTGCCCTAAAACTATAACAATAGAACCCTGACTGCCCTAACACTATAACAATAGAACCCTGACTGTCCTAACACTATAACAATATAACCCTGACTGTCCTAACACTATAACAATATAACCCTGACTGCCCTCACACTATAACAATATAACCCTGACTGCCCTAACACTATAACAATAGAACCCTGACTGCCCTAACACTATAAACAATAGAACCCTGACTGCCCCAACACTATAACAAATGGGCCAAAACCCCTGGAACGTCCTCACACTATAACAATATAACCTGACCGCCCTAACACTATATAAATAAATAAGAACCCCTTGACTGGCCCTAACACCATAACAATATAACCCTGACTGTCCTAACACTATAAATAATAGAACCCTGACCCCCACATCATAACAATATAACCCCTGACTGTCCTCACACTATAATATAACCCTGACTGCCCTAACACTATAACACTATAACCCTGACTGCCCTCACACTATAACAATATAACCCTGACTGCCCTAACACTATAACAATATAACCCTGACTGCCCTAACACTATAACAATATAACCCTGACTGCCCTAACACTATAACAATATAACCCTGACTGCCCTAACACTATAACAATATAACCCTGACTGCCCTAACACTATAACAATATAACCCTGACTGCCCTAACACTATAACAATATAACCCTGACTGCCCTAACACTATAACAATATAACCCTGACTGCCCTAACACTATAACAATATAACCCTGACTGCCCTAACACTATAACAATATAACCCTGACTGCCCTAACACTATAACAATATAACCCTGACTGCCCTAACACTATAACAATATAACCCTGACTGCCCTAACACTATAACAATATAACCCTGACTGCCCTAACACTATAACAATATAACCCTGACTGCCCTAACACTATAACAATAGAACCCTGACTGCCCTAACACTATAACAATAGAACCCTGACTGCCCTAAAACTATAACAATAGAACCCTGACTGCCCTAAAACTATAACAATATAACCCTGACTGCCCTAAAACTATAACAATATAACCCTGACTGCCCTAACACTATAACAATAGAACCCTGACTGCCCTAACACTATAACAATAGAACCCTGACTGCCCTAACACTATAACAATATAACCCTGACTGCCCTAACACTATAACAATATAACCCTGACTGCCCTAAAACTATAACAATATAACCCTGACTGCCCTAAAACTATAACAATAAACCCTGACTGCCCTAACACTATAACAATATAACCCTGACTGCCCTAACACTATAACAATATAACCCTGACTGCCCTAACACTATAACAATAGAACCCTGACTGCCCTAACACTATAACAATAGAACCCTGACTGCCCTAACACTATAACAATATAACCCTGACTGCCCTAACACTATAACAATAGAACCCTGACTGCCCTAACACTATAACAATAGAACCCTGACTGCCCTAACACTATAACAATAGAACCCTGACTGCCCTCACACTATAACAATATAACCCTGACTGCCCTAACACTATAACAATATAACCCTGACTGCCCTAACACTATAACAATAGAACCCTGACTGCCCTAACACTATAACAATAGAACCCTGACTGCCCCACATCATAAACAATAGAACCTGACTGCCCCTCACACCATAACAATATAACCCGACCGCCCCAAACCATACCAATAGAACCCCTGACTGCCCCAACACTATAAATGAATATAACCTGACCGCCCTAACACCAGCAACAATATAACCTGACTGCCCCACACTATAACAATAGAACCCTTGACTGTCCTAACATCAAACAATATAACCCCACCGCTCCAACACTATAACAATATAACCCTGACCACCCTAACACTATAACAATAGAACCTGACTGCCCTCACACTCATAACAATATAACCCTGACTGCCCTTAACACTATAACAATATAAATCCCCTTGACTGCCCTAACACTATAACAATATAAATCCTTGATCAAGTCTCCTTAAACTATAAATAATATAACCCTTGACTGCCCTACCATAACAATATAACCCCTGACTACCCTAACACTATAACAATATATAACCCTGACTGCCCTAACACCATAACAATATAACCCTGACTGCCCTAACACTATAACAATATAACCCTGACTGCCCTAACACTATAACAATATAACCCTGACTGCCCTAACACTATAACAATATAACCCTGACTGCCCTAACACTATAACAATAGAACCCTGACTGCCCTAACACTATAACAATATAACCCTGACTGCCCTAACACTATAACAATATAACCCTGACTGCCCTAACACTATAACAATAGAACCCTGACTGCCCTAACACTATAACAATAGAACCCTGACTGCCCTAACACTATAACAATAGAACCCTGACTGCCCTAACACTATAACAATATAACCCTGACTGCCCTAACACTATAACAATATAACCCTGACTGCCCTAACACTATAACAATATAACCCTGACTGCCCTAACACTATAACAATAGAACCCTGACTGCCCTAACACTATAACAATAGAACCCTGACTGCCCTAACACTATAACAATAGAACCCTGACTGCCCTAACACTATAACAATATAACCCTGACTGCCCTCACACTATAACAATAGAACCCTGACTGCCCTCACACTATAACAATAGAACCCTGACTGCCCTCACACTATAACAATAGAACCCTGACTGCCCTCACACTATAACAATAGAACCCTGACTGCCCTAACACTATAACAATAGAACCCTGACTGCCCTAACACTATAACAATAGAACCCTGACTGCCCTAACACTATAACAATAGAACCCTGACTGCCCTAACACTATAACAATAGAACCCTGACTGCCCTAACACTATAACAATATAACCCTGACTGCCCTCACACTATAACAATAGAACCCCGACTGCCCTCACACTATAACAATAGAACCCTGACTGCCCTCACACTATAACAATAGAACCCTGACTGCCCTAACACTATAACCCTGACTTTCCTAACACTATAACAATAGAACCCTGACTGCCCTCAAACTTTAGCAATGTAAACCCGGCTGCTCTCTAGCAATGTTAACCTAGCTGGCCTATAACAGCTGATGTTTTGTTTGCCACAGATGTTAAACTTATTCAATAACCTTTCTGATGCAAAATACTTGACTGGGAATGCTGGGTCATGTAGCTTACAAAAGATGGAGTTTTAATTACCCAATAGGGTATCCTAGGTAATATAGTCCCTAAGAGCTACAGTGCCAATGGTTAGTTTTTACACCATTTTATGTACTTAATGATGTTGGGACCCAACTTGACTTTTTTCTTTTTTTTTTCTTATATCAGAAAGGTCAGTTTTTCATGGTATAAAAGATGTAGCCATCAGTCCTAAATTGTGAATGGATAATGTGCACTAAAGCATGTGAGGACAATTATAGTGCTGGACCAGAACTGTTTTGATGGATGAGAAGGGAGGAAAGATGATATTGCTATGGAGTGCAGAAAAAACGTATTAACACAATTAGACAAGTGGGATTGATTATGGGTAGGTTTGGATTGAATATTCACAGAAATAGTGACATCTGGAAGGAGACCGTAAAAGTGGTGCTGGTTTGGAAGTGGGAGATTAGGTAGGTAAATTATATTAGTACAAGGAAGGGACCTTCAGGAGAGCGCATCAGAGTCTTGTAGGGGAAGTTGAGCATGCTCTTTAGTTGCAGTGATGGAGAGCAGGAGAACTGCCTAGAAGTGGCTTATTTTAGTCTTGCCTTTTGGCTAGTTATTGGCTGACATGCTATGCTGTGCCAGATGAAGTGAGGGGCTATTTTAACTTAATATATTTTTACATCTATACATTTGATGGCAATCATGATAGCTTAATGCATAGAAGGAATGTAACAGAAGTTGTATCCATGAGAAGTACTCTTTAAATATGTGAAATTATGGGTAACTTACATTATTAATGTGTATATAAAAAGGTTTTCTAGTAACCCTGATTATACTATTATACCAGGACTCAATATTGCCACTAGTCATCTCCATCATCTAAGATGGGAAATAACGTGTTTAATGTCCCTCTGAAAGGGCAGTCTGTTATTGCTTCTTCAGCTTATGTTTGTAGAATTAAGAAATAGATGTGCCCCCTGTTGTGGCTACTCAGCCAGTCATATATATTTTGGAAAAAGGGAACAAAAACGGCTGTCAGATCAGCCCCCTAGTCCTTGTATCGTTTATAAAACGATTAAAGTTACATTAAGGCAGTGTTCTTCCCTAATTAACTGTTCAGCCCCAAGGTAGGGAATCCCACCAGAGAAACGTCACTGTAATTCCAGCATGCCAGCCTGGCATTTCATTTTTATTTATTTTTTTAATTATTTTAGATGACTGGGTTTTTTTTTTCTCATATCAAAACTGTCTGTACTAATTATCACAATCACTCCCATCCACCATGCAGAACAAACTAGGTCTTTGTGTTCTTGAGCATTGATAGATGAATGGCTCCATGGAAAAGTCATACTTTAGAGGGAAGCTGCCCATCCTTGCAAAGCGACCAGAATAAGACGGCAAGTTAGCACTTAAACCCTTTCCCATCCACCAGCTCAATGAGAAATGTTACTTCCTCATTATCTGTCCAAATATCACGACCAGGAGAGCATGTATCCTGTGTTCACATTATGCAAAGATAAGATCTCAGCATTGGGTGTTTGTAGAATTCAGTTTTGCTGAATTATTGCAGATTCTCTTTGATGCCAAATTCCTGTTCACATATTTGGACAAATAATGGTGAAGCAGAATTAGTCATCCTGCCGAGGATATGGAAGCTTACGCTGTTAAAACATGTTTTGACATGGTATTGCACAAATAGCGCATAGAGTGCGCTATTGTGGTGATGGTGCTTAATTTGTCTTTAATACACAGTGTTCTTGTGGAAAGGGTTAAGAATTACTGAATAATCCCTGTGCTTTTGCATTGCTAGCAGGTGCATAATGAACACAGCTCTCTACACACACACTAAAATAAAATTCACATTGAGGTTTATTGAGCCAATAACTGCTTGCCACGTAGAGTGATGACAGGACTTAACACTATCGTTGGTAATCAGTGTTGTGTGACTGTTTAAAGATGGGTTGAGATAATGTGAGAGTTTCCATTGTAAGTGTGATTTCTGTCTGTGCTATGTTCACTGTACACTGATTCTCTCTTTTTTCAGTCCTGCTTTGACTGTGGTGCCAAGAACCCCAGCTGGGCCAGCATTCCTTATGGCGTGTTCCTATGCATTGACTGCTCGGGGATTCACCGCTCTCTGGGGGTTCATCTCAGCTTTATTAGGTGAGTGTGGGATACATTTTTCGGTTTTCTGCTGCTCTCTACGTGCAATTGTTCCAAGGAAGTAATCATTATTCTGTTGTCTTTCAAACCAGGTCCACTGAGCTAGATTCCAATTGGAGTTGGTTTCAGCTGAGGTGTATGCAAGTGGGAGGCAATGCTAATGCAGTAAGTAATGGTTTTATGGACTTTCTCTATATAACCACTCAGATATGGTTTTATTTTCATTTTATTTTTTTTATAACTTTTATATATTCTTTACGTTACTCAGAACGCCTTTTTCCACCAACACGGCTGTACCACCAGTGACGCCAATGCCAAGTACAACAGCCGCAGTGCCCAGATGTACCGGGAGAAGATTAGGCAGCTGGCTAGTTCTGCCATGGCTCGGCATGGCACTGATGTGAGTTCCCTTGCCCTTGGAAGGAAATCAAATATTTTGAATCATGAGGAAGAGTGGTTAGAATTGACATTCATGTTTAGACTTACTGGGGACGAATTGTATGGACTGTATCGGATAGGGTTCAGGTAGAGTGTGAAAAGGAATCTGCACTACACACGTGGCCTATTAGTGACTTAATGAATCTAAAGTGGAGGATTTATAGCTGGGAAGAAAGTTGATCCCAATGTAAGCCATACATTGGAATATAAATGATCCTTCGTCTATACATTTAGGGTGGGATCCACCAAGATTGAGGGAGTGGGTGAACTAAGCATGATCCAACTCTATGCTTCTTTCATGTTGGGGATTATTTTATTAATTTGAAAGTCTGTGAAAAGGTTCAGGTTGTGAGATTCCCTGAAGATCCAATAAGATCTTCAGGGAATCTCTTTGGTTTGATTTCTTTGGGTTATTTTAACACAATTCTCTCTTTATCGCTCTCTCTAGCTGTGGATAGAGGGGATGAACTGCTCTGTTTCCCAATCACCAGAGAAGAAAGATTCTGACTTCTTTGCAGAGTTGACTCAGGTATTCCTTGTCCGCTTTTATTCTATTAACTTTGTATTTGTGGCAATAACTGACCAGTCTAAACCAATCTCTTCTTCACAGCCTAGCTCCTGGGATGTAGCACCAGCCATAGAACAAGTCACAGAGGCAGCTTCTCCTGAGACAAAATCTACCAGCGTCTCTGAGAGCAGCGAATCCACACGTAAGATCCCGGCTTCAACTGACAATGAGAATCCTCTGTGTATTAAAGTACATCAAAATAAATAAGCACACTCACAACATGCAGGCTTCTCAAAAATGTTATCTCAAATGAAGAAATTGTACAGGGATATGGTCACTTTTCCTACTCCATCAATGCTTTAAAGAACACCAAGATTGTTCTATTCTAGCCTAGTTATAGGCATACACATAAAAATATTAATCCACATACTTACAATGGACCATAGTTCTCGCTACAGAAAGGATCATGCTAAATACTAGAACAACTGCATCTTTACACAGATTCTGGTGCAGAGAGTACCCTCTACCCAGTCTCACTGATAACTACAGTTATTTGTAAAACTCACTGCAACTATAGACCACCACTCAGGCTGTTGTAATGGAAAAGAGAATTTTACATTCTGAGATGTCAATTTTCTACAACTTCTACGTACAGAGTGCACATGCGCAATTTGAAATAGGATTAAGACCTAAGCCATGCTTTGTGTCTGTGACACACCTTTTAGTCCTGAGCTGACCATTACATCAAACTCTGCCAACATCTTAACATCACCTGGTTCACTAAACAGAGAAGGCTATTGCTAAACTAATATCCGCGTCCGTATGGCTGCTCTCTGTGTACAGTGTAGTGAGTGGAACTGCCCTCCGGGGATATTTAATGCAGCGGTTTATGGGACAACCTCACACCCCATAACTAAATCGGTATTTTACAGGACACTTCCAAGTTATATATTATTTTGTTTTCTCCACCTTATCTTTTGCTCACAGATCCAGAGACTGGTCCCAATGTTGACATTCTCAGCACGTCCCCTAAAATAACAGTTGGTGAGTTAAATTGGATTTCTCTTCTCCCCCATTGTGATATTTTTTTATTTTATTTTTTCTTGTGTGTTTTGTTTCTGCACTATTTTCATGTTTTAACTTTAGGTTCATGGTTAGGTTCATACCTGTTTTACTTGTTCCTCCACAAATCTGTCAGTTTTTCCAACCTTGTGCTGGTGATAAGAGAATCAGATTTTGGTAGTGCATACATTTTTATATTTTTAGTTTGCTTTAATTATATATGTGTGTATATATATATTGTTGTTGTTTTTTTTGGGGGGAGTGAAGTTTATGACACTGCTATAGTTGTGCTAAAATCTCAGATGTAATCTGTAGTTTGAAACCTCACAACTTTTGAAACTAAATATCCATAGATAGTATACAGGCTGTTTTCATGTTACATTTATAATGCTAGTATAGAAAAATATGTTCCTGGAAAAGGGACTAAACACATGAATGTGTCTGCAATGTATGCACTAAATGCCTCTCCTCACAACTGAACACCTTGTTCTTCTCTGTTACTTAGACCGGGCTATGTGCCTTTCAGTTCAGGAGCTGACACTGGGTACAGGTGACCAGATGGTGACTGGCTGGCACTGGCTGCTGTGTGCTTGGCATGTCATGCACTGTGTATTTTGCAGATTAAATTGTCTGAGCTTAGCGTTCCCACTGAATTATTTTCTCTGTGTATTGGGATCCCTATCTAAGGGACACTGGGTTTGCCTCCAGGATCGCTAACCCTGAATGGCCCCTGACATTTAGACAGTGAATCCCATGCTGTGCGCTGGGGAGCTGCCAGTTACTAACACTTTATGGATGTGCACAATTGCGCGCACTCGCTCACAGAAATTTCTTCCTTCCTCTAGAAGTGAAACCTACTCTCATTGGCAAAAAGAAACCAGCCACAGTTAAGAAAGGGGTGAGTATTTTTCTGCATACTTGCTAAGCTGCCTTAGATATAATTGTGCCATCTGAGACAGTTTTCTTGGCTTTACCCTCCAGCTTGGGGCTAAGAAAGGCCTGGGTGCCCAGAAGGTCAGCAGCCAGAGCTTTAATGAGATCGAGCGGAAAGCACAGGTGGCAGAAAAACTCAGAGAGCAGCAAGCGGCTGAGCTAAGGAAAGAAGTGGAGGAGTCGCTGTGAGTGTCACTTACCCTGTATATGCGTGACCGGCGCTATATCGACCATGCTTCTTTCTAAGATCTGATTATCTAATGGCAGTCTGTCAGCTGGTGCTGGGCAACACTTCCCATAATCCTCAGGGAAGAAAAATAGACATTCTAGATCATGGTGTCTTACCTCTTCCAAGCCTGAGAAATAAAATACAAATGGGCTTGTATCATTGAGCCATAACTGGATTTAGCTGCTCCTCCTGTTAAGATTTTTTTTGTATTGGTGCTACCAGATCATTTCTTCCAACCTTATTTTAGATAGGATCCATGATGTCCTATATTTGACATTTAGTGAGGTCCCGAACGGTTCGCCGCAGACTCCTCATTGAGTAAACTTTGACCCTGTACCTCACAGTCAGCAGACACATTCCAGCCAATCAGCAGCAGACCCTCCCTCCCACCTCCTGGACAGCTCACTAAGAATGCAGCTTCACAATGGATGCTGTCCAGGAGGTGGAAGGGTCTGGGAGGGAGGGTCTGCTGCTGATTGGCTGGAATGTGTCTGCTGACTGTGAGATACAGGGTCAAAGTTTACTCAATGATGAGTCCGCGGCGAACCGTTCGGGACATCACTATTGACATTATATTGCTGTATTGCAACATTATAACTTAAATATACATTTACACATAATTGCTCAACCACTAATTCAATTTCAGTCATTTTTTTTTTTTTCTACAAATTTGTTTTAGTGCATTTGCATTTTAGTTTGGGGAAAACAGATTAAATTTAAAAAAAAATTCTCAACTACCAGCCAGGCCTTGGGTTACTTGTCACTGCCTTCCTGGAGGGTCCATGGCACACATTTAGCAGGAATTATTTCTACATTGTCATGTGTTGGTGACAAACGGAAATTTTGAGACCTTTTAAACTAAAATATTCCTTGTGTTCCCTTGCAGCAGGCTATGAACTCGGTCTATCCCCCATAGTACTTTGCTTTATGAATGGAGGGCACGGATGCTCTGCTAAAGATATATTTTAAAGCCGATTAACTGTTGACAGATCCATATTTGTATGTTGCTATATGTCCAGTACACATTTATAGTTTACATCCCAGCACTGCAAGCATTGTACGTTGTCTTTACTATGAGTTTCCTTTTAGTGTCTCCTCAATGAGGCTGGCGTACCAAGAACTGGAGATTGACCGGAAAAAGGAGGAGAAAAAGCTGCAGAATTTAGAAGGAAAGAAACGAGAGCAGGCGGAACGACTTGGCATGGGCCTGGCTGCACGCAGGTATATTGTGAACGTACTACGTGTATTTTTAGATCCATTCATGGTCGTTTATGAAGAACAATTCTGGAGCAAAAATCATTCCATTGGGTTTTTAAGCAGATTTCTCCACTTGCTAAACTTTGCCGCACAACTGCTCTTTATTCATAAGCTCATAGTGTTTTGTTTTTTTTGTTTTTGTGTAACAGTTGTTGAAGGCTTTGATAAACAAGCAGTTGCGTGCACAATTTTGCAAATCATTATCATTTTATTTTTTTTATTTTTTTCTCCTCGTAGCTCCATTTCACACTCTGTCCTCTCTGAGATGCATGTGATTGAACAAGAGACTCCTGTTGCTACAAAGTCTTCACGCTCCCAGCTTGACCTGTTAGATGATGTCAGCTTCACCTCTGGACCCCCTAAGTATGTATAGCTATCACAGAGCTTAAGAATGTCACATGTATGAACCAGCAATTTTTGTTTGATTTGTGTGTCCACCTTCCTTCCAGTCATTGCTCCCCTTCTTCACTGTCCCCATTATTCATAGGATTTTGTGTTTTTTCTATCCTTGCCAGGGGGTGGGGACCTTGTACCTGGTGCCTAGTGTAAGTCACATAGAACATGAATTGCATTACAGAGCAGCACAGCAACCTGTCGGCTCCCACTGTACTAATGCAGGACAACATCTGAGTATTTTTGTTACTGCAGTGCAAGTCTCGGGTTGTTAAGCTTCTTTATAATAGGCAGTTTAGCTTTACATTGCTGGCATGTGTAACAAAACCCCTATACTCCGAGTATATCCATTGTAATTCTCCCAAATCCCAAGTGAAGCCGTGATTTATAGCTCTGGTATACCCAAACATCAGCCTAGACGTGATTAAGGGTACAAGAAGACTCTGTTTTTTAATCTGGCCAGATAGCCCACTATTAAACACAACAGGGATACAGTCGAACACTCCCCCAACATGCCCATACATTATCTGAGTCAGCATGACTAAGCATAAAACCATAACATACATAAAATATTAAAAATACAGATAAGACATATAGGAACCCCCACAAATATTATATCCCTGGATCTGAGCGCCCAAGTTGTCCAAATAGCGCTTAGATCCCATGAATACAGCCGAATTGATACTGGGATAATTTTTTTTGACCTACCGCACCCGTGGCGTCTGCCCAAATCAGTTTCAGGGGTAGCGGTCGCTCACTTTCATGAGTTCCATACGAACAAACTGTTGAACAGTTCCCCTGGCTTATAGGTTTGTTCACCTGGTTCGGGATAACAAACCTAACTAACTGCGCTCTCCTGGCTTGTCACGGAAAGAAGCAAACGTTCGTATGATTTTACTGGTGTTGGCGAGGTCAAGTGTCCGACGTAGAGTTCCAGACACTCAACGACCAGGTCCCGCTACCTGCGTACGTGCAACAAGATGGCAGAGAGAGCACTTCAGTCTGTGCTTTCTTTGTAGTCAATGAGCCGGTGTTTGGTAGATTTCTGTTCGGGAACTATATAAAACAAACCAGGGAAATGTCTTTCGAACTGAAAGGAAAAAGTATTACGTTTGGCACAAGGTATATGGTCTATAGTCGGTGGGCAGGAGGTTAGCTTTCACACTCCTCAAGGAATTCGTGGCAAACGTCCAGGGTAAGGAGCATTTGTCACAGCAGGGATAGTGGTACTGGAGTCTCCAGAGCCCCTACTGACTTCTGTCTGAAAAGGTAACCACGGTTATTTTCCTAGCGTATAATGGCATTACAAGTGGGAAGAACTTTCTAGTGCTGGCTAAGTAACCCTGTAAAAATACAAAAAAATAAATAGCCCCTGATACGCACGCCTTAAATGTGTCCATTCTCCCTGTACGTTATGTCTTAGACTTACTCATGCAATGTGGAATGCTTTACAAAAACTGCATGTTACATGAGAAAGGACACTGATCATATTTAAAAAAAAAAAAAAAAAAGGGCAGCTCGCCTCTGTAGTGAACAGCAATCCGTTTCTGTAAACCTCAACATTTTTATTTTTTTTTTAATTTTTTTTTTAAAAGGGTTCAAGGTCCAAACATTGCCCTGATGTGAATTTAAAATACATGGTTAGCTGTTCACTGTAGAGGCGTGCTGGGCCATGTTTCTGCAGTATGTTACCTACTTCACAAATTGACTTCTTCTAGTGCAAAGGAAGATCGCCTAAAAATAAAAAAAACATCCTGGCACAAATGTGTGTGCTTCTTTTTTTATTTTTAATTTTAGAAATATGTACTTGCAAGTTCTTTTTTAAAGGCACACTCTAGGTCCCATAAACACTTCATCCCATTAAAGTAGTTGGGGTACTAAGAGTCCCCTGGTGTTTCAAACAGTTTACCACTGAATGAAGGTACCTTAGTACCTGTGGTGCCACCACCTGCTCCTTCAAGGGCTGAAGCAGTTAAGTGAAAGTCAGCCTTGTGAGGAATCTAACTCCTAGGTAGCTTTGTAACAACTCAGCCTTTTATGTAAACTGGAAGATTAGGTGTCTGGATCTGAATATTTGGTCCACGTAAGGTGGGTTTCCATTAAGATCTAGTCACAAGCTATTTTTTTTTAAATGTTGGTTTACTTATTCTGTGTGCTGCTTTTTAGTAGCACATTGTCACATTCTGTTGAAGTCTTTGAAGACCATAGCTATGGACTGTGTAATCTGAACTTGCTTACTGTCATTGGAGTGTAACGTTGGCTGCCTCCCTCATCAGGTATAAGGACAACCCATTCATGCTAGCAGAAGGTGTGTCTGTTCGGTGGGATTCGGACACTCCCTCGTGGTTAATAGCAGATAAAGGTTCAGAGGATGGTGAAGTGACAATCTCCAGTATTCAGCCAGCACGAGACAGGTCAGTCATAAGCTATTCATTTAACGTAACTGCCAATTCTCTGTGGTTTATTTGGTTCTAGAGTTTTGAAGAATCTAGAAGTTCTTCATATGATATGGTGCAATGAACAGGAATATGCTGTGGATTTCCATGGTGATTGCTCTCTGACTTTGCACTGTAACTCTCCTGAATGAGTTTATTCAAGTAATGAAATTTCTTCACAAAACAAGCAGTTCTCAGAAGTTCCAAATAGATCACTGTTTGATACCTTTTATAGTTCTGCAGTAAAGCACTGATTGTATTGAATACCGGTGAAGTAGCTCAGTTGGTAAATTCCCTGACTACAAAGCCTGTTGTTCACTTGTTCAAATCCCAGTGCGGCCAACTCCAGCCCTTCATCATTCCGAGGTCGATAAAATCATTTCCATCAATCGGGTAATAATAACATCTATTACTATTCAGCTGCCGATTTGGTTAATTCCGAGAGCATGCGCTGAAAAGTGCTTTAAATCCCACTGGGAGAAAGGCGCTATATAAATACTAGTTTTTATTATTATTATTATAATTCACTTGTAAATATTTGAAGTTCGGTGTTTGCTCTGCCACACTGGCCAGAAATTGTTAGTAGTGTGTGAAAATCCCCATAGCATGTCCCTTTAACATTGGGAAATGGATATATATATTATAGCATTGTGAAAGGCACCTCCGGAAGCTAGCCCACAATTAAACTTCACCCATGTATTCCTTATATTCTGGATACTCTAGGGATTGTGCTAGCTAAACATATTAAAGAACGCTGTAGTGTCAGAAATACAAACATGTATTCCTGACACTATAGTGCTGGTGTGGCAGTTTAGGTCCCGAGCCCACCTTCTCTGTGCAGTGAAAGGGTGTTTTTTTTTTTTACTTTCCTTTTCTCCCACTCTGCATTGGTCTCGCCACGGCTGGCTCTGCCTCCATGACGGAGATCATCAAACCTAATGATTTCAGCAAAGCATTAGGAGGCTATTTCAGATGCGTGAAAAAACGCTGTGCCAATCAGCATGTTCTGATAGAGCTGCATTGAATCTATGCATCACTATTGGGAATGTCCAGTGCCTTCATGCAGAACATGGAGACTCTAATCGCCAGTACTGCAGACTGTGCATCACTGGATTAGGAAGCACCTCTAGTGGCCGTTTGAGTTAGTCACTAGAGGTGTTACTAGGCACCAATGTAAAATGTAATTTTCTCTGAAATGGCAGTGTTTACATTGAAAAGGCTACAGGGACAGACTATACACCCTGGAACCACTACATTAAGCTGTAGGGGTTCTGGTGACTATAGTGTCCCTTTAAGGAAATTTATAAAAAAAAAAAAAAATACCCAATGCAGACCTTGTTTTCCCCCACAAGTTAACTAAATGTGGTTTCCTCCTGCCTAACATGACTTATCCACTTGGCAAAAATCAAACTTTTTATCCCTGTGCTTGCTGTTTTATGACACAAACTGATCTTTAATTTAGGTGGTAATATATTTTCTGAATACAGGCCTGCAAACCGGAGAAAGCCAGAGAGCACCCCAGGTCCAGAATCCAATGAAGCACGGATGAAATTTGCCACGGCCAAAGCCATCTCCTCAGACATGTTCTTTGGTCGAGAACAGGATGCTGAGGTCTGCTTTTTTTTCCCCCTCTTCTTTTCTCTGTTCAGAGTTTTCCATTTTTTAAATCCATAAAATTCATACATTTCATTACTGCATGGTTCAGAAGAGTGCAGTTCATTTTATGGTCTGGAGCTGTATATGTTGTATAGTAACGTTGAAGGGGCAATTCATTAAATGCCAAAATCAGTTTCTGACAAGGCATATTCCCACATCCATTTGATTAGCTGTCAATATTTGCAGATTCTGTATGTTTGGAATTTTGACTATTCATAAGCAGCTCAATTGTAACCATATTCAGCTTGTTTCCCCAGATGCAGAACAAGGACAGTGCATTTATAACTCTGTGTCATTTGTCCATTTCAGAGAGACATGGCATTCCAGTACAAAAAAAAATTTGAAGCAAAATTTCTAGTTTAGAATTATCTAATCAGAATTATGTTAAAAACTACATGTAAAGTGGAAGCCAGCATTTTAAAGGAACTCTCTAGTGTTAAGAATATAGCTTTGATTTCCCAACACTATAGTGTCCATCTGCCCCTGCGGCTCACCTGGCCATGTAAAGGGTTAAAAAACACTTACCTGATTCCAGCGCTGATCATGCTCCTCCTGTGATCCAGGAACATAATTCGCAGTGAGCCCAGTACGTGCATTTAGGCCTTCGCCACAGGAAAGCATTAAATAAATGCTTTTCTATGGGGCTTTTCCACACACTGGATGTCCTCATGCAAAGTGTAAGGACGTACAGCGTTGTTTCGCAAAGTCAAACTCTGTGAAGCTGCAGGAAGCGCCTCTAGTGGCTGTCTAGTTTCACATTGCAAGATTAAGATAACAGGGACACTGCACTCAAATTACTGCAATGAGATGAAATCGTCTGGGTGCCTATAAGTGTCCCTTTACTGATGATCCATGTGCCCTCACAATAAGGGAATGCACAGGTGCCCATTCTAACCCCAGCAGAAATAAATTTCATTTAATCCTATGTAAATTGCGTGCATGACTCCCATTTATCATCCTGTTTGTTTTATCATTAGGAGATCATGGTTCAGTAATCTCTTGTTAGAACTGATATCAGAATGGCTATGTACCCTGCTGTATGTCAGGTGGCCTGCAGTAGTTATACAGTAAGTGATCTCCTTGTGTAATCTCCACAGTATGAAGCGAGATCCCGATTACAGCAGCTCTCCTCCAGTAACTCCATCAGTTCTGCAGACCTCTTTGGAGATTCTAGTTCATCGGATGCTGCAGGTTTGTAGATGATCCAGCCTTTTCATCTATACAGGGTCATTCACTAAAATGAGAACTGTCAGACGTTCAAAGTGAATATTACATTTAAAGCTGGATGGAAAAATTCTCCTAGTCAGCAATGCTTCTGATTCAGCTGCTTTGGATTGAACCTTAAAATGGACTTTTAATTCACGACGATTCTCACTTTGGGAATAATCTGGTTTCAGCTGCTGCTGGTTGTAGATATTTTTTCTTTGTTTTCAAAATTGTATTCCAGGACAAACCATAGAGAAACCACATGTTTTGTGCATATGGTAGATATTTTTCTGTTGGGTTTTGTTTTTCTTTTTTCATTTAAGAAACACTCTAGGCCAGTGATGGCAAACCTATGGCACAAGTGGCACGCCAGGCCCTCTCTGTGGGCACGCGGCCATAGGTCGCCGGGAGAGGGGGCCGCTGGCTGTCTGCAGAGTAGGCACCTGCCTACCCAAAATGGCAGGCGCCTACTCTGCTTCCAGGTCGGGAGGCAGGGGGAGGGCTCTAGGAAGCAGCTCTCCTATCCTCCTACGAGCAAGCTGTGTGGAGCGTTGCCGCGCGTTACCATGGCAACGCTCCACACACCATCACGCGGGAGGATAGGAGAGCTGCTTCCTACAACACTTACCACCACCAGACCACCAGGGATGGCTGTGTCCCCCCCCCCCTTAACCAAAGGTAAGAGGAAGGGATGGGGGATACAGAATTAATATAACTTTTTTTTTTTTTTTATGTATCTTTACCCCTACCCCCCCTACACAGCACTCCACACCCTTACACACAAACACATACACTGCACCCCCCAATGCAGTATGTGTGTACTCAGCAGTCTGTGTGTGTATTCAACAGTCTGTGTGTGTGCGTGTATGTGTGTTCAGCTGTGTGTGTGCGTGTATGTGTGTTCAGCTGTGTGTGTGTGTGTATGTGTGTTCAGCTGTGTGTGTGTGTGTGTGTGTTCAGCAGAGTGTGTGTGTTCAGCAGAGTGTGTGTGTTCAGCAGAGTGTGTGTGTTCAGAAGTCTGTGTGCACTCAGCAGTGTGTGTGTGTGTGTGTGTGTGTACTCAGCAGTGTGTGTATTTGTATTTAGCGGACGGTGTGAATGTGTTCGGCAGTCTGTGTGTATGTATTGCATTTGTTGGAGATACTAATAAATATAAGCTTAATTTTATCTATTTATATCATAATTTAAAATTTGTATAATTGAACTCTCTGTTGTGTTCTTCTTTTAAAACAAAAGTTGTTAATTAGTTCGGACAACTGTACGAGTAGTTTTTTTCTAAACTTAAACCTCAGTATACAGGTTTAATTGCCATGTTGGCACTTTGAGGGAAAAAAGTTGGCATGTATTGCAGTTTGGGCACTCGGGTTCAAAAAGGTTCGCCATCACTGCTCTAGGCTGTATAATCATTTCTTCTCATTGAATTGGTTATGGTGCCTGGATTTTCCTGGCGCTGTCTCTCCATTCAGTGTGAAATCATTTTTCAAACTGTTTGACACTGAATGAGTGTTCCTGGCCGCCCTCATCCCGGCCCTCTCTGGATGTATGGCTAAGGCAGAAGTTAGCTATAACCGCTATGGGCTGGCTGTGATAGGCAGAAAGCAGTCAGCTGACACTCTCGGACAGTCACCACCATGCGTTGTTGCTCAGATTAATGCTTCCTCATTAGTCTGAACAGGACAGAGGGGGGACTGCTTTTGTGAACTCTCGTTTAACGTTGAACCATATAGAAACCGTTTAACATTGAATGGAAGGACAGTGAATGGGGACTCAAGTTTATTCAAGTAATGAAATTTCTTCACAAAACAAGCAATTCTCAGAAGAATAGATGGCTGTTTGATACCTTTATAGTTCTGCAGTAAATCACTGATTTTATTGAATACCGGTGAGGTAGCTCAGTTTGTAAATTCCCTGACTACAAAGCCTGTTCACAGGTTCAAATCCCAGTGGGGCCAACTCCAGCCCTTCATCATTCCGAGGTCGATAAAATCAGTACCATCAATCGGGTAATAATATCTATTACTATTCAGCTGCCGATTTGGGAGAAAGGCGCTATATAAATACTAGTTTTTATTATTATTATAATTCACTTGTAAATATTTGAAGTTCAGTGTTTGCTCTGCCACACTGGCCAGAAATTGTTAGTATTGTGTGAAAATCCCCATAGCATGACCCTTTAACATTGGGAAATGGATATATATATATATATATATATAAATATTATAGCATTGTGAATGGCACAACCCTGGAAACTAGCCCACAATTAAACTTCAGCCATGTATTCCTTATATTCAGGATATACTAGGGATTGTGCTAGCTAAACATATTAAAGAACGCTGTAGTGTCAGAAATACACAGTACATAGAGCGTCTCTTTAACCCTTTCAGTGCTAGTGGGCTAAAGTATACCATCACCAACACAGCACTGACTTATTCTAAGAAATTAGCCTATCTGTAACACCTCGTCCGTTACAAATGATCTGTATGCTAACAAAGGTACAAGTGTGTATGATTAGGGGCCCTTTGACTAACTGACTTATTAATTTGTTTACTTGCAGCTGCGGTGTCCTTGGGCAATGTTCTTCCATCTGCAGACATCACCCACTTTAAGCAAGGGGTAAAAACTGTGGCAGGCAAGATGGCTGTTCTGGCAAATGGGGTGATGAACACTTTGCAGGTAAAGATGATCAGGCAAACCAGCCTTCACACCTGATGCAAGTCTCCAACCTGCCAATAACCGATCTCCCTTGATTTTATGTTTTTCTCCCTTAGGATCGTTACAGCTCCTATTAACATGACCTGGAACTGGCACCTATAGCTTTTTATTCCCATGCATCAAGTTTTGTTTGGGCCAGAGGCAAAGAAGGTCCGGAAGTGAAATTAATCCATGCATCTCGAGGAGTTAGGGCTGGCCCTTCTGAGGAAGTGACCATTTCAGTATTCCTAAAGCCATGTGTGCTGCGGGAACCTTTTGATCCTATTAACACATTGCAGTTGCTTCCGCTTCACAGCTGCACCTCTCCTCCCCAGAATGTTCTGCTGATCGCCCCTTTACACTGGAGCGGCCAAGGGACGGTGCTTTTAATTTAATTTGTGTATACGTGTGAGATCTAGTTATTTGTGAATCCTAAGCAGGGACTCGTATTATGGAAAGTCGGACAGGTGTAGCATGTACCACTTGTCTGTTTAACCTTGGGGTGTGGGGAAGGGATAAGATTTTTGATTAAGGTGAGGACACCTCATTTTTAGAAATTTAATGACTGTTACCTCTAGGAGGAAGGAAGCCTTCTATGACTAAGACTTGAGATTATGTGCGTCACTGACATTTCTTATTTTAGAGCCTTTGATATTATTGACACTGAGGACTTTTAAACGCTGATTTCTGGACAGGCTTCAATCAGATCAGGATTTCAATCACTGGCCCATTTACAGAGACTACATAGTCACACGCTTTGTGAGAGCGAGTCTGAGGCCGACTGCATGAGTATTTATTTGGTCTCTTGTACATTGGTACCATTCTGGGTACCCTACATTGCCCTTTAAACATAAATCACTTTGTTGACACAGTGTTCAGTGATGACCAGAAAAAAAGCTATATAAAAATAAAATTACTGAGGCAATCTGGGTCCTAGTGTTTTGTTTTATTACATCCTCACATCTTTTTGAGTGGACTAGTTCTAATTGGACTGATTATTAAGAAACCTAACCAATAAAGCGTACAGTATACGTTATGGTGCTTAAGAGCTGGTATCAAAGCTTCACGTGCGTGTTTTCCTTCCAGAGTGAGAAAGTTATGTTTTAAGCACGGGGGGCTGGCATAACAAACTACTGCTACCCTCATTCGGACAAATAATGTGGCAGCAGAAGGGCTGGGCTTTGAGTGCCAGGGAAACTACATGTTTTAATTTATTTAATTTTTTTGGGTCAAATCAACAGTTTAATAAAAGCCAGGGGAATGTCATAAAGTGTCCTGTACCATAACAATCAAAATAAGCCGTTCTGATTATGGCATTTAGAGTGTCCCTCTCAATTTGTCATATTTAGTTCTTGTTTGAAAATCTGTATTTGATTATATCCACTGGTTCTGACATCTGGAAGTCAGTTACCGGATGCTGGTTATATTCCTTGCTAATTAATTGATCTTTTAGGTCTCTACTGAAACCATTTTAAAGTGTCACCCACTCCCCACCATGGAAAATGAGAGAATCTTTATGACCTACTCATATTTGTAGCAAAAAAGGGGATGATCTGCTAAATGAATGACAAGAACAATGCATAGCGCATAACTGTGTATGAATAAACAAAATGTATAAATGACAAGTGGCCACTCACACTTTCGTTGGAATAAGAATGCCTTGAGAATAAATTTCTTTTTTCAGCATAAATGCTTTTTCAGGAAAAGTTCTTCCACCACTTTTAAACTCTCATGGAACAATTAAAAGGTGTGTGCTCAAAAAAATAATTGTTTAATTGTTCCATGAGAGTTTAAAAGTGGTGGAAGAACTTTTCCTGGAAAAGCATTTATGCTGAAAAAAGAAATTTATTCTCAAGACATTCTTATTCCAACGAAAGTGTGAGTGGCCACTTGTCATTTATACATTTGGTTTATTCATACACACAGTTATGCGCTATGCATTGTTCTTGTTATTCATTTAGCAGATCATCCCCTTTTTTGCTACATATATTCTATTGAAGACAAGAGGAAGTCTTTGGGGAAAATCCTACCTGGTTCAAGGAGGTTTTTTTCTGCTATTTATCTATTGAGCACTTATTGCACACACATTGCTTTTTGTATTTCTGACATACTCATATTGACTGTGTTGGAGTTAAACTGAAATTCAAAACCAGTCAAAAGATATACTGAGACAAAGTAGGAAATACTTTCTCCGTATTTGTCGTACACCTGACACTTCTTGATACTTGTCTTTATCAAATGAAACATGAGCTACATTGAATTCAGGCTTGGAGACTAACTTGGCTTGTGAGGAACAATACTGTTTGTGGCCCTTAAAATTCCATTGGTATTAATGCAGTTTTGGGAGTTATTGTCCTGTTCTAAGATGCTCTAAATACCCGTCCGCATGAAATTTAAGGCAGCCATATGAATAAAGCCTAATTAGCCAGCTTCAGTGGCAGTTATACATAACCCAGCCATAACCTGTCTAAACCATGTTTTATAAGTGAGATGGTAAAGCTCGGATTATGTACATTTCTCATTAGGCCATGAAACATTTTTTTTGTGTTATGCCAGGGATAAACCATATTCAAACTGCTAAATCGTTAATATATATTAACAAAAAAAAAAAGTATCACACAAACAAGGTTAGCACAAGCTCTAGGTGGTTTCAATAGTGTAATTTGCAGAGAATTAATACTGTATTTATGATGGTTTAGTGCTTGGACTGTATTGGTAAATCTGGGGTGGTAGCTCAACAACCCAGTCCAGAGTGTCTCTGTTCTGGCCAAATACAGGATGCTTGTGTGACAAAGGAGGGAGTAGCACCTTATAGTGTTCACAGGTGGAACACCACAAATCAAGAGAAGAAATGGAGAGGTATATGGGGTTTTATTTTTTGCAATATGAAAGGAGGTGTGGGGGAGGAAAAAGAATTGCACTTACAGAGGAATAGAGCTATCAAGAGCTCCACTTATAGGCATTTGAGCAGTATGATAGCCGATTAATGATAAATATCATGTCCTTTGCTTGCACATGACCGTCCTGGGTTTATGAAACCATAACACAACATGACCACATAGTGTATATCTTAATAGTGTAGAAAAATGAATTGCACTCACTTGGTATGGAGCCTATACAGTGGCTCCTAAAACGTGGAGTGGTACAATCTCCACTCTGGGAATACTGATGGGCACAATTCTTCTCTGTATTCGTGTATATGCAATAAAATATATATATTTGTTTTACTACACTATATGGGCATTTTCTATTTGTTGCATAAACCCCGGACTGTCAAGTTGAACCAAAGGACACCCTTAATAAGCACCCTTAACAGATAATTAATGGCTTCCTTTTTAATCCTGTACAGTACAGCTGCTAGTCATGCCTGTGAGTTTGATTTTGGTTTTTTTTCAGACCAACAACGTCACTTGATTTACAAGATAACTAATTTAAACAAAATATTTTTACGTATCCCTTCGATTTACAAAATTTGTAATCCGCAAATAGAAAGCAATACAGAGAAGAGGAGAAAAGAAACACGGTCACGTTGGCTGTCACGTTCTTGCTAATTGTGTGCACGTTCTCCTACTTTACACCCACACACCCCTCTCCTTACATCACCCTTTATACATTTAACTTTTTCCCTTGAATGCACTAAAAATTACAGATCTTCCCAAAACCTTTTGCTTTTTTTTTGTGTGTGATTTTTACTATATCTAAATTTGACAAAAGGCAAATTAGTCAATGAAACGAAAAGCTGCATTCCAGGCTGCATGGTCACTGCCGTGATTATGGTACTTGATTACTTTTAGCACCATGAGCACTTAAGTGACTTTAAGGTGCTGTGATGCTTAGAGTGACCCTTAGGGACACTCCAGGCACCCAGACCACTTCTGCCCATTGGAGTGGTCTGGGTGCCAACTCCCACCACCCTTAACCCTGCAAGTGTAATTATTGCAGTTTTTATAAAACTGCCATAATTACCGTGCAGGGTTAAGTCCTCCTCAGACAGCCACTAGAGGGACTTCCTTGTTCTTAGAATACGAAATGTGTTATATGACGCTGGATGTCCTCACGCTATGTGAGGACCTCCAGCGTCGCCGAAATCTCCATAGAAAAGCATTGAACAATGCTTTCCTAGTGGGAGGTCTAATGCGCGTGTGCGGCAATTGCTGCGCATGCGCATTAGGTCTCCCCCCACCGGCTGATGGCGGGGGAGGAGAGTAGGCGGAGCCTGACCAGCACGAGGGACATCGGTGCTAGAGTCCGGTAAGTCACTGAAGGGTTTTTAACCCCTTCATCAACTTGAGGTGGGAGGGAGAGGGTCACTACAGGGTCCTGCAGTGCCAGGAGAGAGAGTCCCTTAAGTGAAGCAGTTTTGGTGTATAGAACATGCCCCTGCAGTCTCACTGCTCAATCCTCTGCCATTTAGGAGTTAAATCCCTTTTGTTTCTGTTTATGCTGTGCTAGTCACACCTCCCCTGGCATTTTCAATCAGATTTTCACTTGCTTTAGAAGTTTTTATCTCCTGCTCTGTAAATTGATCTTTAATTACACATATTAAAAATGCAAATTGATCTTCTGCAGTGTCTAGGAGGCTATTATTCGCAGGAACAGGAAATTTTAAATAAAAATAAATCTAGATTAAACACTGTATAATAAAGGAACCCATAATATCTATGTACGTTACAGGAAGTGTTTATGGAAGGCTGTGCAAGTCACATGCAGGGAGGTGTGACTAGGGTTCATAAACAAAGGGATTTAACTTCAAAAAGCAGATAATTCAGCGTTGAGACAGCAAGGGTATGATCTATACACCAAAACTGCCTATAGTGTCCCTTTAATATTACTAGAAAAGTATAAATAGCATTTTGAAGGATTTCTTTTTTAAATCTTGTAACCAAAAACGAAGATTAGGAAAGCTCCTTACATTGGCAGTGGTGGAAAAACTTGTCTAAAACCCTAAAGTGTGAGCTGGGGGCAGGGAGAGATGGGGTTACAGTGTGAGCTGGGGGCAGGGAGAAATGGGGTTACAGTGTGGGGAGGGTGCAGGGAGAAATAGGGTTACAGTGTGGGGGCTGTGCCCTACCATTATTAAATTCACTGGTGCTCCGGTGGGTTAACTTTCAGGTCTGCAGCTCCGCCGGGGGTAGACCTGCACACCATGTGATAAAAGTCTTGTGAGCACTGTGACGGACCGCTGGCACTCCAACCGAGTACCTCCGCCAATTGATGCTCCTAGTGCTTGCCGAGGACTCCGAGCACTCCAACCGACACCATCAGCTGCGCCGGGGTCTCGCCGTCTCTCACCCACCCTGGATACATGAACAGAATCCAGCTCCCAGTGGGTGAACCTCTCCTAAATCCAGAGAGCGTAGCAGGAACAAATCAAGCTCTTACAAGAGCTTACTCTGGGGCGTAAGTGATTACAGCAATCCCCAGAGTGTAGGTATCCCTTCCCCCAAGCATGAGCCAAGGCTTTAAGAAAGGTGCAAGTAGGTCTGGTTTATTGAGGGCTACCTGCCTGGTATTTATGCAAGTGTCCACCAGGTGGACACTCCCCTAGGGGACCTGATGGAACAATGGGACACATATTGGATATTAGCCAATCACAGACAATACAAACAAAACACTCCCACAGTGACAATCACAATCCCTTCTCTCTATCCTGGAGATAATTGGGAAGTCATCAAATTATCTCCCAGGACAGAGGCAAGACTCCATTAACCACATGGTTACAAAAAGACATAAAATTACACAATGTTACAATTACTACATAAAACATATACATGCAACATATCCCCAGATAGCTTAGATCTGAGCGCACATTATTACCGAATGGGGCTCAGATCACATACATACAGTTCAATCGCCATGGAGCCAAAGTCTTTTCCATAGTCGTTCGTTACACAAATAGGCTCCATGGCATAGCTATCTGGGGTAGCACTACTCACATACTGAAAGTCCCGATCGCCCCGGCAGAATTACACAAAAAACCTTTCTGCCGGGTAAAATGCAGCTATCAGCACAGGGGCCATAGTCGGAAGGCAAGAGGCTAGCCAGTAGTCCCCTCCAGGCACAAGTGGCGAAGGGCACTTCGTCACAAGCACCCAGAGTGTTGCCACGGTAATGCTTTGGGTGCTTGCGAGACCTCTCTCACACTGTCTGCGCTCTGCACCCGGCAGAGCTGCAGACCTGAAGTGCTGGGCAGGCTGATCCGCAGTCACGGACCGAGGGCCTGACTAATCAGTCTCCCTGTCTGTCTCTTAGGTTCCCGGCGGTTTATTAAAGGGTTAATGACATACTAAAATATTGCGGTTTATTAAAGGGTTAGTGACATACCAATATATCGTGGTTTCTTAAAGGGTTAATGACATACCAATATATTGTGGTTTATTAAAGGGTTATATTAAAGGGCTAATGACATACCAATATATCGCGTTTTATTAATGACTAACCCTATAATAAACCGCAATATATTGGTATGTCATTAACCCTTTAATATAACCCTTTAATAAACCGCGATATATTGGTATATGACATAACATATCGCTGTTTTTTATTGGAGGGTTAATGACATACCAATATATCGCGGTTTATTACAGGGTTAATGACACCAATATATTGTGGTTTATTAAAGGGTTAATGACATAATAACATATCGCTGTTAATTAGAGGGTTAATGACATACCAATATACTGCGGTTTATTAAAGGGTTAATGTCATACCACTATATCACGGTTTATTAAAGGGTTAATGACATACCAATATATTGCAGTTTATTATAGGGTTAATGACATACCAATATATCGTGGTTTATTATACGGTTAATGACATACCAATATATCGGCGTTTATTATAGGGTTAATGACATAACATATCGCTGTTTATTAAAGGGTTAATGACATACGAATATATCGCGGTTTATTATAGGGTTAATGACATACCAATATATCGTGGTTTATTAAAGGGTTAATGACATAACATATCGCTGTTTATTATAGGGTTAATGACATACCAATATATCGTGGTTTATTAAAGGGTTAATGACATAACATATCACTGTTTATTAGAGGGTTAATGACATACCAATATATTGTGGTTTATTAAAGGGTTATATTAAAGGGCTAATGACATACCAATGTATTGTAACCGCGGCTGGTTCCCTTATTTACCACTATAATGTCTTAAAGGGCTAACCATACAGATATCTTAGCTATAATTTTATATAGTTAGTGTAAGAGATCCTCTATTTAACATATATAAATAATTGAGAATACAATATAAAATAAGGATTGTCTTGGAAGCAATAGTTTTGTCTTTTTGATATTTATTATATAAAAATATAAATATAGATATATATATAAAATCCATTATAGCAGAGTTTATAAGATTAAATTAAATGCTTGCAAATATAATTAATAGGTTAACATACCCTTCTGAACATGTTATCATGCCAGCCTCTCTGTCATTTTAAGATGGAGCAGCGTCTGTCTCCAAGTCTCTCTTCTGTTCCTTAACATTTAAAAGTACACCTATTTATACCTTAGGTGTCTCCATTTTAGGGTTACCGTAGTTCATATATGAAAAAGTAACACTTCTTTTACTTTATTCATTTTAGGACCTCCCTTAACTTGGCAAACATACAAAGCCATAACTAAAGGGTGCATACGTCATGGAAATTTTCCTGACTTAGTTCAAGATGGCATCTTAAAGTCTGAACATCCTTATCTACTAAGGTTACCACAGTATATTACGTACTGAAAGAGTTGTAGTATAGCCTTGAAACTTGTTTATGCATTATTGTTATTGTAATTCGTCTGGGACAAAATGGTGCCATATGCACTGAGGTTATTGCTTAAAGAAACATCTATGAAAAACAATGTTCCATTTCTAACCCCTTGTCAGTTTGCAATATCTCTTAAAGACAAAGTACACAGTTTAAGAAATACATTTCATTCTAAAACTTGTAATATTTGTATTTGCCCATAACAATATCATGGTTTATTAAAGGGTTAATAACATACCAATATATCGCGGTTTCTTAAAGGGTTAATGACATACCACTATATTGTGATTTATTAAAGGGTTAATGACACACCAATATATCGCGGTTTATTATAGGGTTAATGACATAATAACATATCGCTGTTTATTAGAGGGTTAATGACATACCAATATATTGTGGTTTATTAAAGGGTTATATTAAAGGGCTAATGACATATCAATATATCACAGTTTATTAGAGGGTTAATGACATACCAATATATTGCGGTTTATTAAAGGGTTAATGACATACCAATATATTGCAGTTTATTAAAGGGTTAATGACATACCAATATATTGTGGTTTATTAAAGGGTTAATGACATACCAATATATCGCGGTTTATTATAGGGTTAAAGACATACCAATATATTGCGGTTTATTATAGGGTTAATGACATACCAATAAATCGTGGTTTATTAAAGGGTTAATGACATACCAATATATCGCGGTTTATTAAAGGGTTAATGACATACCAATATATCGCGGTTTATTATAGGGTCAATGAGATAATAACATATCGCTGTTAATTAGAGGGTTAATGACATACCAATATATTGCGGTTTATTAAAGGGTTAATGACATACCAATATATCGCGGTTTATTAAAGGGTTAATGACATACCAATATTTCGTGGTTTATTAAAGGTTAATTACATAACATATCGCTGTTTATTATAGGGTTAATGACATACCAATATATCGCAGTTTATTAAAGGGTTAATGACATACCACTATATCGCGGTTTATTAAAGGGTTTATTAAAGGGTTAATGACATACCAGGAGCCATTGCTTTTGGTCTGGGATTATCAACCCACTCCTGGTTTTCCAGGTTAAACTTTGTAGCAGTAATTAGTTATTTTAGATTTGCTGCAGGTGTTACCGAAGTGCCCCCCAACATGGAGAAGGAGCTATGATGGCCAAAATGGAGGTAAGTAGTTCTCTGCATATTTACATGAAGGAAGATATTAGAGATATTGTCATGTCATTTCATAAATCTGAGGTTAAAGGCAGTGAGTAGCTATTTTGGCTTTATCGAGTGTTAATCTGTAAGTATTTGGGTTAAACTGGATTCATAGTGTGTGCTATTATGTTAACTCACAGTTAAGGTGTGATGTACCTGTAACCTGTAAATCAGTAACCGTTCCATGATACTGTGTTTCCACTGTAGGTGGCTGTGTATTGTGAAAGGCTATTTATAAAGTAAATGGCTTCAATGACACAGACTGCTATATTATAAAGTCAGAACTTGTCATGTTTGTTTCACAGACTTCTCACTTGCCACTTATTCCTAAGGTTATAGAGGAATCAAGTTATTTATATTACGTTGAAGCTGTCTTGGCACTGCTCACCTCTGCTCCTCCCACTGCGTCATTAAGAAAGCATGACCTTCTCTGGCATAGGCCAATGATAACGTTACTCACAGAGAGTCAATGCTTTCCTATGGATGGGGCTTCCATGTCACATGACCGCGTTTTAATTGGGTGGTGCCGTGGAAGGTGCATCTAGTGGCTGTCAGTGTTAGAGCCACTAGTGGAGGAGTTATCCCTGTAATGTAAGCGTTAAGGGGGACAGGGATACTGCACGCAGACCACTTGATGTGTGTGTGGGTGACCATAGGGTCCCTTTAAACTCACACTGTTACTGTAAGCGCTTCTTATCTTGGTTTCTCATTACTTCACACAGAGAGCTGGAAGCACCCTGTGTGAGCTATGCCAGGTTGTGCTGGAGTGTTCCTTTAACCCCTTCAGGACCAAACTTCTGGAATAAAAGGGAATCCTTTCATGTCACACATGTCATGTGTCCTTAAGGGGTTAAGGGAGGAAATATTCCACTCGTGCTAGGTTACCTGCACTATTTCAGTTCTTTCTGGCTGTGATTAGGGCTATAGCTACTCCTTTGATTAGCTTGGTGGAGGTGGTATTTTGTTCTGTTGGTCACTAGTGTACAGTATGTTGTCCCTTTTAATGTCATAACATGCCTGTAGTTCTCAAAGGGTTAAAGCTAACATTGTGATTCCGCTAGTGTTGGTTTTGAATCTTCTTTTCAAGAGTGAGAATCAAGGTGTTTTTGGGTGTTAACTTGTTGCACTACGATTGAGCTATGTGTGCATGCGCTGTCCCCTTTCACTGACCTGATGATAGTGTGTCTACATGTATTTAGCATTTCATGGAGGTGCTGTGCGTTTAGCAATATTAGTGCTGGTAATTATATTATATATATTTAGTGCCCTCACAAGGTTTAACTGCTTCTCAAAGAAAGGGGAGCAAGAGGGGATGGGCAGCGAGGGAGGGTTATTAAAAAGTTTTTAAAATCTTTTTAAAAAGGATATATCTTTCTATCTATCTATCTATATCCATTATGTGTGCTGACATCAGCAGTCACGTGTAGCGGAGATGTAACTTTCCCCTGCACAACAGTGAATATATATTGGTGTATGTAGAGCGTTTCAAGCAGCAAATAATCTGTGATTGGACAGTCACAGAAAGTATGGGCGGAGTTAGAAGGGGTGGCCTTACAAATGCTGGAGACAAGAGAGCTGCTGGTTTCAGATAAACCTCCAATGAAATAAATGTATAATTAAATGTATGCATGTTTACTTTGTGGGGTATGTCTTAAAACATTTGAAAACAGTTTAAACCCAATTAGATGGCGCCCAGAACCTCTATTGAGATTAAGTTGCTGCTGTTACTGGGGCCAGGGATGTATTTACCACAAGGCAAACAAGGCATTTGCCTAGGGCGGCACTTTCGGGGGGGCGCCAAAAAATGCCACCAGAAGCTCCTAGACAAATGTGTTGCTTGACTTGTGTTCTGGGGCTGTCCACCTTACTGTGAGTGAGTGTAGCTGTCAGTGTGTGTCTGTGAGTGAGTGAAAGTGTGTGTGTATTTCAGTGAGAATGGGTGTGCCTGTGAGTGTGTGTCAGTGTATGTATATCATTTTATGTGTATCTGAGAGTGTGTGCCTGTCAATGAGTGGGTGTGTCAGTGTGTGTCTGTCAGTGAAAGTGTGTGTTGGTTAAACAGTGTGTCCCAATGACTGTGTATCTGTCAGTGAGTGTAAAACAGTGCATGTATCAATGAGGGCATGTGTCTGTCAGTCAAAAAAGTGGCCTTGACACGAATTGGGGGGTCACATTTAGATTTTGGGGGTGCCCGAATTTAGTATTGCCTAGGGCAGCGCAAATCCAAAATACACCACTGACTGGGGCGTCCTTTTAATGTCCTGAGTTTCCTGTGTTCCCCACTGTTTTAGAACATTTTCCTGGCGTTACAAAATGCGGGGAAGCAAAACAAACGCAGGTTAGCAAGACAGCACCCTAAATTCAGGACTGTCCCACCAAATTCTGAACAGTTGGAGGTATGAACCATGAGTTCAACCTTACCCTAGGGCTAGCAGACTGTCTCTCTTTACAATAAGATGTAATGGTTACAGAGCTTGGTGTACCTGCAAGTGACCTTTAAAAATGGAGACTTACTAAGTTTTTACTGTGGTAACTCGTGACTATCTCAAGAATAAAAGACCGCTTCCTCCTCCTCTTACTGTGACCCAACTATAATCACATCAGCTCAGGGTTGTCACTGTTCTGGCAGATTGTCTACATTCAATACCCAGTGACTGTCTATGAAAACCAGGGCTCTAGTGCAGTGAGATGCAGTACTATGAAGGAGAATAGAGACGGGAGTATTCACACAGAGCACTTGGCGTATTAGAATTGCGCTATGAATTTTTTTTTTTTTTTTTTTATTTACCTGCTTTTATACTTGCCTGCAACATTGTTTTAGAATTCACCAACTCTCCTGAGGTCTTGCCATCCTTAACCATCGTAGTAGTTAAATTTTCATTAATTAAATCTTAAAGGACCACCAAAGTCACTGAGGCCAATCATCTCAATAAAGTGGCCTGGGTGCAGTGGTCCCGTAAATGTAACCATTTAAGGTAAAACTTTGCTGTAACGCTGACCTAAAACTCGCTCACGTGATGGGGAAGCTCCCATTGCCATTGATTCGATTATTTTCTAAGGGGAAGCTTGAGTGCGTGCACATGGCAAGGTGCATCAGGTCCCCAATTCTCCTACATGTTGAGCTTTGAATAGGACCCTTGTGTAGGAGGCGATGCCCCTGCTTTGATGTCGTGAGTTGAGAGGTAAGCAGTGCAGAAGAACCCCGGCACTCGAAAAAGATAAGCAAAAAGCTTTTGTTTTGTAAATTTTTACTGCAAACAGGTTTGTATTCCAAGTATTTTAGTGTTCCTTTACCCAATACAATCTCCAGCAGCGACTACAGATACTGGTTCCTGTAGGTTGCCTGATGTCCAAAAATATATAGTATTAGGATCATATTGCAATTTATTTTTAACTCCATAACACCCAAAATCTACAAAAAATATATTTATTTATTTTCATGTTTCTCGAGGAATCTTACAAAAGTCCACCTGGTTTCATAGTTAAGCTATAATGTTGTAAGTCCATAGATAGATACCAAACTCAAAAAGAAGCCGAATGACTGCCCAGCCGGCAGTGCACAGCAAGTGGAATTTTTTGTTTTTGTTTTTTTATTGGCATGCATACCATAGATCTTCCCGTCTAATTAATTGATCCAGGCATATTGAAACATATCATACTTCTGCCATAAGGAGCATTGTGCATGGCGATAGTCTTCTTCGATTGTCAGCTCAGTGGACAGTAAAGCTGTACAGTTGGGATACTGCGGCCATTCATTCGGCATAACTCCTGAAAACAAAATTTTAATTATAGATTGAGAAGATTAGTATAATCTATTATCCTTGTCTTCCTACATTAGTTTCTTACCTTCCTTGGCAAAATGAAGGAAGTATTTTCTAATTAATCTCTGGAATGCACGATCTTCCACTGTAGTTTCTCCTAATGCGTGGTCCAATGTTCCGAATAGCCCCAAGGTGTCCAGCATGTGGAAAGCAAACCAGCTCTTGTAGGAGAACAGGTTACCGATTTTAGCTGGACGGGACGGAGTGTAGGTGACCACATAGCGATAAACTGGACTGGACAGCGCTTCTGTAATTGTTAATAGGGAGAAATCAGTGGCTTATTGTTCTACCCTGGCAAATGGATCATTTTCCAACCAAAAAAAAGTTAGTTTTCACTTTTTGCTACCACTCTAAATTTGTCCAGCTTATATATATGTCCAAAATGATGATGGAATTTGGACAGGTATGCACGTGTGTGTGTGTGTGTATATATGTGTATATGTATGTATGTGTATATATATGTATGTATATATATATATATATATATATATATATATATATATATATATATATAAAAAATTTTTTTACATTTATTTATGTATAGGTTGACAATTAGACACCTGTATAACAATAGTGCTGCATGTCGGTTTATACAACAAGAGGTAATGACCAAATGTACAATTCAGAAACCTAATCCAGAGTGCATTAGATTAACTGCAGGCCAATGGCTTTATCCTTCAGATTACACTCGCTGGACATGACATACTGAAATTAACTGTACCAGTCCTAACTACTGCTGACTGTCAGATGTTTTTGGTAACAGAGAAACCGTTTTTTTGTTTTTTTTTTAATAAAAATGTTCCTTCTTCTCTCCCCTGCCGCCCCCATCCCAAATATTTCTGTGGAAGAGCTGCACAATAAGATCACATCCCATTGTACAGCGCTACGGAACTTGCTGGTGCTATATAAATAATAAAGGAAAATTTATTCCTACTTACCGTAATTTTCTTTTCTTTTCATGGTCATAGACCATGGCAGCACAACATGGGGTAGCTCCTCCCTATCCCTAATTAGACCAGAACCTAATTAAAACAGAACGTATAAGTAACCCCTCCCACCCTCAGTCTTGTTTCCAGCAATATCCCAGGGGGGCTCTTTGTGCTGCAATGGCCTATGGTCAGGAAACGAAAATTACGGTAAGTAGGAATACATTTTCCTTTTTCCTGGCCATGGCAGCACAACGATGGGTAATACCCAAGCAATAACCAAGGGAGGGAAGAAATACACAAGACATAAGGACATAAGGACATTGGAAATTACAAAACTGATTGCCCACTATTGCCACATTACCACATTGACCTAATCAAATGTAACAAAGAAAATGTCTGAAAAAAGTATTGGTTGAGGACCAATCAGGCATTTAACCTATAAGTTCCCGGGAAACGTGGCCACCGATGCTCAAGAGGGAGAAACGGCTCTAGTGGAGAGCTAACAGACCTTAAGGTACTGTAACCCCTAGGGCTTAGTCGCCTGAAAATAGCCAAGACTATCCCTCTGCTGATGGCTTATATAGAGGCATAAAGACCTCTCCTGGTGCATTAGTAAAGGTAAATTGTCTATCAGAAGAAATCTAGATGGTAAATCTATAGCAGTAGATCTTAAGACATCTATCTAGGACAAGAGAAAGTTTCATTACGGAGTCTTTATTCCAATCAATAGACTTTTAGAGCTGGGAGAATAATTTCTTCATTAATATGGAGAGAAGCAGCCACTTTATGACTAAATTCAGGAACCGATTGAGGATTATTATATATTTTGACCGTAAAGGGTTTTAATTCCAAATAGTGCTTGGAGATCTGATATCCTTTTGCCCAATGCTAATATCACTGATAGAGCTAACTTAACATCAAGTAGTTGTGGAGAGAGAGTCTCATGGTTAAAAGGGGTGAGAAGTCCACAGGATCAACGGTTAACTGAGGGATCATATAAATACAGCCTACAGATATTTAGATACCTCCATATCAAAGCCCCTTCACAAAAAGAGAGACCAGAGCGTGCTGAGACATGTACCTCTGAGATATTGTGGCTAAATCCTAGATGAGTCCTGGATTGAAGAACTTATGACCTCCTTGGTAGAAGGAATTTGAATGATCACCTAATTAGAAATAGACCAGGAAAAAAAGGCATCCCAACTCTGTAAAGGTAGCAGAGGATATACGTTTTACCTGGCCTTCAGAAGGGTATTAATGCTGCACCTGAAAAACCCTTATATTAAAGCCCTTCTTTTCTATATCGAAACCTTCAGAAAGAGGAGAGTAGCACTGGACCTGATGGAAGATGAATTCTTTTGGAGAAACCCCGTGGAGGTACTGAAGAAGATGCACAGAAGTGAAAACCATATCGATGTTGGCTCTTGCCACCTATGCAGAAGAGAGGTGTTTGATGTTAGGATGCTCCTTTCATGAACATATTCGATTTTTGAAGAAATGTTCCTCAACCCCAGTTGATGGTATTTATAGTTTTCACTGTCCAAGGAATTTCCATAGTAAAGTTAACGTCCTCCCTTTTGCCATCTTATTAGACCTATGGTAGAGGACATGGATGAAAACTTTCTCTGCTGAGGTAATGAGACAGTCAATATCCTTTTACTTGATAAGTCATACTGCACTTTCTGAAGAGCTGTACTGTGCCATGGACTGTGTCAAATCATGTTCCCAGATATACCCTGAACTGGGAGGGATGAAGGTGATTTCAGCAGACATTTATCTTTTACCATGAAGATGTAAAAGTGTCCTTCCACTGCAATCTGAGAAACCTCGGGTTATGTGGGGCAATGGGTACATGGGAATAAGCATCCTGCAAATCTGTAGAAATCATCCAATGTACTAGGAATACTGCCTTTAGGATGAAGAATGTTCAAGAATCCTGTTAACTTATGTAGATCTAGAATGGATCTCCATCCACCTGTTGGAAACAGAATCTTTGTTCTAGCTGCTTTTGAAATTTCTCACAATAGCTCCTAATTACATTTTTTACCTTTTCTCTTCCTCTGGTAGAAGAATTACCACTTCTCAAGGTTCAGATCTACCATACGGTCTTCCAGGTGCGAAATACCTGGATCCTGGAAGGCAGGGAATGTGAGTCCTTGGATTGAAATGGTCTCGTGAACCTTAGGTCTTGCAGTAGACCAGCTTTCCTACCCTCTGCCATTCATCTCGGAGGAGGCATACACGGACCAGGTACTGAGCCAAAGAGCCCGACTTGTAGACAAAGAGTCATATTTCTAGTATAACACAATCTATGGAAGCTTCTTAGCTGAAGACTATTTACGGCTTAATGACTAGTAATGTCAACAGACAAAAGGAAGATTCTCTGATATGCTCCTTCAAATTATCCATATCAATCTTAGATCCTTAGAGATTGAGGTAAGAGTTCACAGCCAGATGAAGGCATGTGCCAGCTGCTACATATGTAATTAGAGAGGATCAAGACCATTTATGCTCCATGGAGTCTCAGAGAGATGAACATTTAGCCAGAGTTGAACTTTTAGTCAAGTACTTCATCATCCACTTAGGAGCAGAGTCCCAGGTACAAACATCTATTATCCCAATGGATGAAGACGCAAGATACTCCCTTGTGTTGAACACATCTCTCGTTGTAGAACCATTCCTCCATAATAAGGATCCTAATGGTACCTAGAACTGAAAAAGGATACTATGTTCCTTCTGACATCCAAAAAGAGAGGCTAAAGGTAGAAGGCTCAACCGTAGAAGATTCTTTCAGATATAAAGACATACAGACTCTGGAAATCAAATGGTCCACTTGAGCTGATTTTGGAGGTACTGAAATAGGCTGAATATCCTCATCCGAAGATATATCTCTGAATGTATCCATCTCCAAAGATTCCTCAAAGTATACATACTGGGAATTGTCCAGAGAATCTGCGCTTTAACAGCTTCTATGATGTCTTGAGATACCTCCTGTTTGATATTGCATAATATACGGCACAGGGGTAGATGGGTCTGTAGCCACTTTCAGATAGTTTGCGCAGAGACTTTACCTTTTACAAGGTTCTCATCATTTGCCTCACAAAGGATCCTTTAGGGCAACTTCCCTTGCATGATCCAAATAATTTTCTTCCCCATAGAACTATCATCATAGGGAATTCCAATTATTAATAGGCACTATTTTGTTTGGTAACAGAAAAAAATAGAATGGCTTACCTATGTCTCTTAGAGCGTGACGTTTTTTCTGGGAGAAGAGAACTGAATCCATAACTGCATAAGAGTCCTATTTTTATCCTTAGCAAAGCAAATCTCTACTAAAAAAGCAAAGATTGATAGATAAATAAAAAGATGTAATATGGGGAAAAACCTATAAGAAAAAAATTGTGCTTTTAAAAGGGGAAGTCAATACGACACTGCAACCGTACTAACATTAGAGAATATAGAAGCGCAAATCAGATTTTTGTGCATTTGCATAAATGGCATGGCACGATCATTCGATTCCCGCCAGTGCATTCGCTGGTGTAACGGTCTTACCTGGTTGGATTCCCGAGAGCAGAGATGTATACTCACCCTTGCAGATAAACACAACCCACAGTAACCAGGTAAGAAGCTACCTGGGCTGTGAATCTGTGCATGGAGGCTTGACAGGAACAATAACCTGGTGTGAGAAAACTGACAAGGGCAAATCCAGGAGAGTAGTCAGGCAAGGTTAAAACTGCCAGGGCAGGCAGAAAACAGGCAATAACAAAGATCCAGAAGCATGGGTCACAAGCCACGTCAGTCTTAAGAAACCGGAAACCATGAACTGACACTGCACTCAGGGAGAGGCTGTATAACAAGCAGCCAATTTGCAGACAAGGCGAGGTAAACAGGGCTAGAACTGTAAGTTCAGAAGTGGCTCAGACAGGAGAGCAGGCTGAAACAAGAAATGGAGTGTGGCTACTAGGCAAGACAGCAGGACTATGGCAGAGAAGGACCACAGTCCTTCTGTCTGGCACTTGTGAAATGGCCACGCCTGGCCGTCTGGATGGCATGGTGTGAATTGTGACATTTGCCCCTCCTTAAACTCTACCTCTGGGCGAGAACTGGTTCTTTAGAGTTCTGGTACATCTCATTTTCGTTTTCAATATCCGTATCAAGATATTCCTTGTAATCAAAGTCCCCAGAAAGGAGTCCCTTAACAGCATGGGGCTCCATAGTACCAGATTCTGGTACTGCTGGAAAGAGGTCAAGGACATCGATGATCCGAGAGCAGGTGGAAAGTACTTCAGCAGGAGAGGAGTTCATGGCTAGTCATGTCTGTTTGAACATTAGTAAATCCTTTTTACAAATGATTGTACCATTAGAGGCATATGTACAATCAGAAGATAGGTCTTCTTTGAGCCGGCGTTTTTTTTTCTGGAGCATGAGGTATCCCAGAGGTCTCAGTAGCAGGTTCCTGCAGGACATTGGCAGTGTTAATTACCATAGTCTGAGTACCCATAGACGAATGTGAATAGGTATGACAACAGTGCTGGCCATTCACAGACTGAGGTGGATTGCTGACCGAGTGGATCTGGACAATGCCCAAACGGAGAGCCTGTGCATAGGGCACAGAGAGATAAAGTGCCTTCTTTCTCCGCAGTAAAAGCAGAGACCATGGCCTCTCCTCCGGACTCTTTCATCAGGAGTCAATTTGGTCTTGAGGAGACGGATCTCCATAGGTTCTTCTGTGTCAAAAGGAGCATAGGATACCTCTGGAGTTTTTCTATGAATTGGTTCCTAAGGAAGCAACAAGGGGGTGTGGTGTTTGGTTCTGGGTTTCCCTGCCTCTGGTAATCTTGGATCCTCTGGAACGTTGAGCAGTAGATTTTCTAGAGTTCGTGCACTGCGAGTCCATTGCAGTCATGAAGGACCACCAGCTGTCGAGGACAGGACTCTTAACCAGCAACATCTGATGTGCCCATGTCTTGATCCAACCAGACAGCAGGTTGATAGCCGCACGGACCATGATAAAGTCACTGGCAGATGTCCGAGGCTTTAAGGCAAATAAAATTTCACAATCTACCTTAAAGCACTGACGGTACCGAGGGATGTACTACTACGAGCTCACTACTTCCACATAAAGGAACACATCCTCCGTGGAAGTAGAACGAGAGCTAAGCCACCGGCCGAGTTTCCCACGGTCAAAATATATGCGGATCTATCGACTGCTACATTACGGAAGCGAAAAGACTTTCACCAAGTCACAAATACATTACGGTCACATGGCATAAGATACCGGTGGGGATTCCCTACGAAACTGGTGGTCACGAAGGACGGAGTCACGATGGTGATGAACACCCCTGAGGAAGTTGCAAGCCTGGAACATGCCGGTGGAACCAACTGAACAGCCCACACAACGAAACCGCCCACACAATCAACCAGAATGGAAAAAGGCCCAGGAGAAACACTAAAACCAGCTGGAACAATGGTTTACAGGCGAAAGCCCTTTGACCACACAGAAAATTTGGGCGCAAACTTAGGACATATCACCTACTATAACCCACGGAACACGTGACATTCACCCCTTGGGGTCGGACATAGGCCTTCAAGCCGGGGACCTCCCCGGGAATGCGGCGCTGGACCAGGGCCTCCCGCCATCCTTGTAACGAGGCGTAAGCAGAGCAGTGGCGAAACGCGGGGGACCCTGGTCTGTGCCAAGGAGTCAAAACCGTGCGGTCCCTCTCCCTTTCCCTCTCTGCTCTACCTCTTCTCCCCATGAGACTATGGACACTGGAGCCCGTGCGGAGTTGCTGTGGACATACAGTGTGGATACATGGCCAGAGCGCCACGGGACACATCCCCATGGCCTGGGGCCCAAAGCGGACCCCCGCGACTCTGCAACCCTCGAGACACTTTGGGATGCATACATCTATGAACGTGTACTACAAGGTAACCGGGACCTGACAGCACGGGCAAAAATTGAATACGTAAAGCCTGGAGCGGTTTCAGGTCTGCAAACGGCCTTCAGAACTGTGGGGGGGAGGGGTTGGGACGGGTGAGCACCGGGTGAGGGTTCATTGTATATCTTGGTTGTAATGATATGTATATAGTATGCTCCACGTTGCTACCCCTATGTGCCAGGCCCACTCCCATCGGTTATTAGAAGAGGCATCCCCATAGAATTCACAAAGGCGGCCTTAAAGGCCAAATTAATAAGCAAATCCTCGGCCACATCCCTACTCAGGGCGGAAGCGCCCAGGCCTACACTGGCGCTCAAACTCGAAGCACTCACAATGCGATCCTATTCTTGAGCCTCCACACGCTAAGATAAATGCAGATGCAGCATAACATAATAGATTATAATGGTGCCCGATAGCCACGCTAATGGAGGAAATCCTTCTCTCCTACCCCCCAGATGTGGCAAGCCTACATAAAGTCTGACAGAGACACCCTGTACATAGTTCACACACCCCCTCCAAGTTGTTCTTCCCCTAACCCGAAAGCACCTAAGGTCTGCCATGAATCACCAAAGGAGCCACAAAACATTAAACCTACACCGCCACCCACATGCCCACATGATGCGACTTTACAACACCAAACACCCGACCCAATCCGCACAGCAGAGACACGGAATCCCCTCGCACACCACGGGGACCAGCACTGGCATATACTCAAGACCTGAGCAGCTAAACTACACAACCTACACAAATGATGAAAATACAGACTATTAATGCTCGTGGACTGAATACACCACACAAAAAGAGACTCTTGGTAGACGACGCTAAGCGCACTAAGTCAGACATACTATGCGTACAAGAGACGCATTTTGTACACAACAGGGTACCCTGCTTTGCTGGCAGAGACTACCCCACGCAATATCACTCGACATACTCCTCTAAATCACGTGGCGTTTCATTCCTCATACACTCTTCAGTATCATTCGAACTTCTACGCCTCAAAAAAGATGCACGGGGCAGATATCTTATACTATACTGCAAACTCAATGACACCTTGTATACTTTAGTGGGAATATATGGACCAAACAATAGCCAGAGGAATTTCATACAGAAGGTGCTAAACAAACTCCCCACCAGTCACCCACAATTACATGTGGGGATCTAAACCACATATTGCAACCACGACTAGACACCACATTGTCAGACGTGTCCCAGAGACGCAAAACATTATGCAAACAGGCCACGGCTATTATGAAACTCCTCTCAGAGCACAACCTCTATGATATTTGGAGGACATAAAACATACACCAGAATAGATTTCATATGTCTCGGGCGATTTGTTAACGAGGGCTACACACAGTGAGATAGGAAAAATAATATGGTCTGACCATGCCCCAGTACAACTAACTTTAACAGAAAAATTCCAATCCCGAGGGAAGACACCATGGCGCCTGAATGACGCTCTCCTACACAATCCTGAATTCCAAACCAAACTTACTGAAGAGATAACCCAATTTCTTTACCCTGAACGAAACACCTGACGTTTCACTGGCCACAACCTGGCAGGCGCATAAGGCAGTCATCTGCGGTCTCCTGATTAGTCAAGCATCACATCTACACAGGCAAGCTAAGAAAGAGTATATGAATCTGCTGAGATCACTTGGGGACGAAACGTCTGCACAAATCCTATATCCCTCTCCCCCCACACAACAGCGTATAGACCAAATAAAGGGGAAATTTAAATGACATCCATCTGCGAAATACTGCCATCATGACACATAGGCTGAAACTAACAACATACACTCAGGGCAACAGAGCGGGAAAGGCTTTGGCGACACTACTGAGGCAGAAAAGACAGAATGCGAAAATACCATTCCTCAAACTCGTTAGGAAACAAAGTGTACAACCCTCACGACATAAACGACATGCTGGCGGACTATTGCGACACATTGTACAACCTTCAAAATGACAAACACACACACCAACCGCTAGCAACGGAAATTGATACATTCCTAAAAGAAGCTCAAATACAACTCTCTCACAGGCAGACCGAACAATCTTAGAAGAACCCATAACTCAAAGCGAAATCGCGCACACAATCAAAACCCTCCCAAAAGGGAAATCGCCAGGGCCAGATGGCTTTACGAATTTGTATTACAAGACCTTCTCACATATCCTAATCCCCAAACTAGAAAAACTATACAATAATATTCTAACTACAGGAGCCATACCCAGAGACATGCTGCTAGCCCACATAACAACACTACCAAAACCAGGAAAGCCACCACATAAATGCCAAAATATGCGCTCCATATCGTTACTAAACATAGACCTAAAACTTTTAGCGAAAATCTATGCAAATAGGCTGGGAGACATTCTACTGACACTGATACGGGAAGACCAGGTGGGGTTTGTCCGAGGTAGGCAGGGCTCAGACGGGACCAGGAAACTAATCAACATCCTACACGAGATCCAGAAATCTGGGGAACCCAGTGTGGCACTGTCATTGGACGCAGAGAAGGCTTTTGACAGGCTACAGTGGGGATACCTAGAAGCAGTACTGCGGAGATTTGCATTCCCCGGATGCTTTATTACACTGGTCTCTGCGTTATACGACAACCCAACAGCAAAAATAGCTAACTGAGGCTTTGCTTCCAAACCATTCCACATCTCCAATGGGTCTAGGCAGGGCTGTCCACTCTCACCTTTACTTTATATATTGGCACTGGAACCTCTAGCCCAACATATAAGAGACTCACACGAAGTCCATGGGATACACATAGGGGAAAAAACATATAAGATCACCCTGTTCGTCGATGATGTAATGCTCACACTGTCTAAACCTGATACCTTCCTACCGCAACTCCAAACTATACTAACCAAATTTAGCGATTGCTCGTACTATAAACGTAATATTACTAAGACAAAAGCTATGGGCCTCAACATCACTAAAACACAACTCTCCAACTTACAAAGCCAACATACATATGACTGGAGACGCGACCATTTAACCTTCCTTGGAATAGATCTCACGCCCGCAACACAAAAGCTATATAAAGCGAACTATATAAAACTTCTCACTGCAATCAAACAGCTACAAACTTGGAAGGGGAAATATATTTCGTGGACCGGCCGAATAGCGGCGGTGAAAATGATGGTACTGCCGAGATTGCAGTACCTTTTTTAGAACACTTCAGATAGGGCTGCCAAGACAGTTTCTCCAAGAAGCCCAACGCATCTGGGGAGGGAAACGACCTAGAATAGCAGCGGAAACCATGTACAGGCCCTTCAAAGAGGGTGGGATGGGGGCACCAGACATCATGAGATACTACACAGTGGCCATGATCACCACACTTATATCCACCTTTCACCATACAACTCCGCCAGCATGGAGTCTAATAGAAGCAGCACACACTGATGGACTCATGATGTCCATGTTGGCTTGGGTGCCAAAGCACAAAAGGCCAAAATATAAAAATATCTGCCCCACCACAGCAGCGACACTCCACATTTGGGACAAATACATTAAACAACACTACCCCGACACACATGTATCCTCGGCCTTACAAATCCAAGCGTTCCAATTCCTTATCCCAGGCTTCGACCACAGCCTATGGTATAAAAAGGGGGTCACACACCTATCCCAAATAACGACGAATGGCCGCCTGATAGACTTTAACTCCCTAAAGGAACACTTCAACCTCCCCTTTAGAGCTTCTCATACCTCCAACTACAGTCATGGGTGAGGAAACACTCCGAGATAAGTACAGCACAAGAACAGAACCACACACCAACGGAGTTAGAAAAAATGTGCATGGCTCAAAAGCCACCCCAAAAAATGCTGTCACGCTTGTACACAATGACTAAAACATATGAACACGTAGGGAAACTAAGCTTCATGAAGGCATGAGAAAGGGACCTAAACCAGACCATGCCAGATAAAGTATGGTTAAAAACGTTTGAGGCACACAAAACCCTCACACTGAACGCTTCTCATATCGAAACCAGTAGGAAAGTGCTATACCGCTGGTACATGGTACCAACTAGGCTACACAAACTTGATCACAACAAGTCAGGGTCCTGCTGGAGATGCTTGGAAGAGCCAGGGTCAATGCTCCACATTTGGTGGACTTGCCCGGAAATAAAAACCTTCTGGAAAGGCATCTCAGACATAACAGCATCTACCGGCACTACACTCCCGCACCCAGGCCCGGACTGGCCATCGGGCACACCGGGCAAATGCCCGGTGGGCCGCGGTGGCCATGGGCCGAGGCCGGCGCTATCCGAGCGCCGGCCCCACTGTTTGCCATGGAGGGCCGGTGGGGAGATCAAAGATCTCCCTCACCGGCCCATTTAAATAGACCTGCGGCTGGGGAGGGAGGGAGAGGACCCGGCAGAGCTCTAACTTGCAGCTCCGCCGGGCTCCTCTCGCGAGATCGGGAGCGTTGCCATGGCAACGCCCCGATCTCGTGAGAGACACCACTGGACCACCAGGGATCGTGTGCGAGTGCCGGTCCCCCACTCACCAGCGTACCGGACCCCTCCCCCTCCCAGGCTAAAGGTAAGGGGGGGGAGGGGGGAGATGTAATGCATGATTTGTTTTTTTGTTTGTTTCCCCCCTTATTTTATTTTTTTATTTGTATATTTATTCCCACTTAGGTTTGTATTTGTTTATTTACCCCCCAACACACAACATTTATACACAGCACTCTCACACTCAGCACTCACACACATCATACACAGCAATCACACTCAGCACTCACAAACATCATACACAGCACTATCACACTCAGCACTCACACACATCACACTCAGCACTCACACACATCATACACAGCACTATCGCACTCAGCACTCACACACATCGCACTCAGCACTCACACACATCGCACTCAGCACTCACACACATCGCACTCAGCACTCACACACATCGCACTCAGCACTCACACACATCGCACTCAGCACTCACACACATCGCACTCAGCACTCACACACATCGCACTCAGCACTCACACACATCGCACTCAGCACTCACACACATCGCACTCACCACCCACACACATCGCACTCACACACATCGCACTCAGCACTCAGCCTCACACACACCACACTCAGCACTCCACACACATCACTCAGCACACACACACCACTCAGCACTCACACAGCACTCCAGCACTCCACACACACAGCACTCCAGCACTCACACACAAGCACTCCACACACACACGCACTCAGCACTCACACACAGCACTCCAGCACTCCACACATCAGCACTCACACACATCGCACTCAGCACTCACACACATCGCACTCACACACATCACTGCACAGCACTCAGCACTCACACACAGCACACACTCAGCACTCCACACACATGCACTCCACACTCAGCACTCTCACACATCACTATCACACTCATCACACAGCACTATCAGCACTCACACACTCACACTCAGCACTCACACACATCATACACAGCACTATCACACTCAGCACTCACACACATCACACACACACACTCACTCACACTCACACACATCATACACAGCACTCACACACATCACACTCGGCACTCACACACATCATACACAGCACTATCACACTCAGCACTTACACACATCACACTCAGCACTCACACACATCACACACAACACTCACATACATCATACACAGCACTATCACACTCAACACTCACACACATCATACACAGCACTATCACACTCAGCACTCACACACATCATACACAGCACTATCACACTCAGCACTCACACACATCATACACAGCACTATCACACTCAGCACTTACACACATCACACTCAGCACTCACACACATCATACACAACACTATCACACTCAGCACTCACACACATCATACACAACACTATCACACTCAGCACTCACACGCATACTACACAGCCCTCACATACACACACAACCCCCCGATACACTGCATCACACACATACACAATACTTCCAAACATATTTATATAATATATAAATATATATATACACAGCACCCCTCACACACACAGCACCCCTAAACACATTTCATTCCAGACACACACTAGATCCTCTACCCAACTCTGGATCATCTACACACATACACACACTAGATCCCTATATACACTCTGAATCCGTGTTATACGCACGCTCACTAGATCTCCTATACATAGTCTGGGTCCTTCTCTCACACACACACACACACACACACACACTGGATCCCCTATACGCACACTAAATTCCCTGAACACACACTCTCTACAAACACTACATCACCTATACACACACACACACTATAGCCTGTATACACACACTTGCTACATCCCTATACACACATTCTCTACAGCCCCTAGCCACATATGCATTACATTACACCACAAACACAACACGACTAAAACCGACCTTATTACACAATACCACACCACGACCAGCTCACTCTACACACATGCAATACCACAAGCAGGCTCCAAACACATGCACAATACTCTTTCCTGGCATTTTTGTCTCCTGTTATCCATTTATAGAGACACCAGAGACAAGTTGCAAGGAAACACAGTGCAAGCATGTTATTAAATTTGTTTGCACTGTGCAGAACAAATACAGGGCTTTTTTCCCTCATGCTGGAGCTCTTCAGCAGAGCTCTGCGCATGGTCTGCCCTGGAAGAGCATTGAACCAACATGCTCACTTTGAGAGGGGGCGTGTTTGTCATGAGTGATGACAAAACACACCTTCTCTGCCCCGCCCCCTTCTTAATGGGCTGCTGTGATAAAAAAATGTCCGGGCCAAATTTTTTTCCCAGTCCAGCCCTGCCCGCACCTACCTGAAACATATCTACTATTAATATTCCCACACGACCTACAAAAGGTTGATCTATACCTAATGTATCATATTATCATCGCGACGCTAACGACTATAAGTAGGGCATGGCTGAGCAGAAACACACCAAGCACCCAGCAATGCCTAGATAAAATAGACACCACCAAAATATATGAAATGGAGGCAAGGCGACTGAGATCCGCACACAAAACTTGGCAAAAATGGGAAAAATGGCGACAACAATGCCAACCACAAATGTTGTTCCGATGTGAAACATCATTCACAAACACATCTCCTAAAACACATTCTCTAAATAACAATCAACCTCCCTATACCCCCCACTTCAAATCTATGGTAACACCTCGTCGTAAAGACCTGGTGAGTTAACAAATACCTAGTGGCAGTTGCAGGTCACGAAATGATATAGGTATGGGAATAAGATACCGTAATGTGTCCCCTAGACGTTATGACGCGAATAACTATCATCCCCTGAACGGGATGCACAAATGTACCATGACAAATTGTTTAATGCAACTCTGTAACTGTACAATGTGTATGACGATATCTAAAACCAATAAAAAATATTGAACATCTATTGGTAAATCAGAAATATACGTCGTATTGGATGTGCCATCTTGAATGACTGCTATTCGCATTTTATTGTTCTTAATGTAAATAGAAATGCATTTTCCATTATTCTTCTGATGTTTGCATTGTTACTCATCTTGGCAACTTGGAGGGCTGAGGCTATTTTCTGGAGATCTGCTTTTGCGTTTATATGAAACAAATTAGACTACATTTTGAAATGTTCCTATTTCCCAAAGGGGACTTTTCAAGTTAGTTGTGACGTCCAATTAAAATTTATATTAATCTACATATTGAAGTGTGGGGGGAAAACACCCAAAACCAATATTTGTTTATCTGAATTTACAAATATTTTATCTGCTTTCATACTGTAATAATCCTATCGATAGGAATATGTGAACACTAGTGATGTCCCGAACGGGACTCCAGTCAGCAGACACATTCCTCCTGTTCGGCGAACAGTTCGGGACATCACTAGTGAACATTGCTATCTCTGCCCCGGTAAACCCATAACCACTCTCTCAAACCTCTGCCAGCAATAGAATTGCTCTCATTGATTTCCAGGATGGCTTCGACCATTTGTATCAGCAGCTGAACCTGATCAGAGTGGACGTTGCCTAGTCCCTAATGTAAGATGCTCTGGGCATATCTTCTGAACAACGTCCAATATATGTGGACAATACATTCAAAGCATTAGCTCGTGACTTGGACCAAACTGGACCCAGAGAGAATAGCTAGGATTATAACTCGCTGTATTGATCGGACATTGCATGACATGAAGAGACCGTTTCAGTCAGTTGGTAACATACCTGCAGCACGTCTGGCTAGCTCATTACTGGGACATGTTGCACGTACGTCCGATACCATGGTCATGTAGGTTTTTTCCACACAACGAGTCGGTTCAGAGCAGAATTCTGAGGTGGGATACAAGGCCAGTGCTTCCTTTGAAAGACTTTCTCCGAAGGAATTGAGTTTCGCTGTGAACAAGAAAGACCTTGTCAGTTGTGTAAAGAAATATATTAAACTTCATAATTTCTAATTCTAGGTTATCTGAAAACCTATCACTGTTTGTCCAGAACCCTGTAGCTGTCACGTTGCCCTTGCCTAGATACAGCGTGGTTGCATCCGATTGGTTAGTAAAATAAACTACTTACCGGAGGCAAGTCAGCTTGCCATCCAGCACCCTTGTGTAGCGATCCCCAGGTGGTGCAGCGTTATAATGATCGCCGGCCGCTGTGGTCCTATGAAGTCTTATAGCCCCGCCTCCATCGTTATCAAAGATGGCGCTGACTTGCGTCTGACGTCACGTAAACGATGCGCACGTTTTGGGGTCAACCTTATGAGGGTTATTGAAACCCAAATTAGCATTTAGTCAGTGCCCTGTCGTGGTTTCCACAAGCTGGTTGTCAGAGAGTGCGTTCTTGTTCTAGTTCTTTTTGATATTTGAATTTTTGGCTTGTATTTTGACTTTCCCTAATTCTGGTGTCCTTGACCTTTGAATTGTTTCCTCAATCTGTCTCTTTCTGTGTCCCTGACCTCGGCGAGTATTTTGACCATTCTCATTTACGTTAAGTCTGTCCATTCTAAGGCCCGGTATACGTGGCCTTGTTCATTGTTTGTAGGGATGTGCATGGGCAAAATAAAATCAATTCGGGTAAGTAAAAAAATTAGGCTGCTTCGGCAATTTAGACCAATGGCATTCGGTTCCGTTCGGCACTTTTGAAATTCGGAACTTCTGCAATTCGGAACATCTGAAGGGCTCTCAAGCCACCACAACCACTTACACATCTATAGAGCTCCTAGTGCACGGACTGCCCCCACAACCACTTACACATCTGTAGGGCTCCAAGTGCCAGGATTGCCACCACAACCACTTACACATGTATAGGGCTCCTAGTGCCAGGAATTAGCTTTTTGGTCAAGATTCCTGTTATCATTTACGTAAGTTTTCCTCCCTCTCTTGTTTTGTTTTGCAACTCTTCGGCAATTCGGCACTTCGGACATTCTGAAGCATCCAAATGTCCAAATTGCCTGAAACTTGTCCCAATTTACATTCGGAACAAAACGAATTGCACATGTCTATTTGTTTGTACATATAGTAATCATGACAGTAACTTCTCAGGTGCTGTACCTTTCACAAACCACTGATAATCTTCTTCTGACCACACAGATAGATTTGCATAGACTGGCCTGTGGAGAAAAATGACCATAGTAATCGAGATTATTTAATTATTATTTGAGATGTGTTGTGTTGTGATGTGATATGTGATATGTTATGTTTCTTCATTGGACCTTAGAGCTATATGATCGTAATAATCAATTTATCGGTTGTAATTAAGTGATGCTACATCTGAGGATTTTTGTAAAAATATACATTGAAATCAAAATGGAATGACAATGGAACTGTTAGAATAATTGCGTCTGTATTTTGTTAAAATCTCTAAAAAAAAAAAAAAAAAAGCTTGAAAGAGAAACCAAAACCATACCATAATGAGCTGGATCAGTACTGGCCCTAACTCATAGTGGTGTACATAGCATTGCTGGACCATCAAAAACTGTGACTGTAATTGGTTAAATTAATGATTCTGTTGCTAGCCATGTTTGTTGTGGTTATGGTGCTTTGAAGGAACACTAGATCGTGTCAGGAACACAAACATGCACTAGTGGAGGAATCACCATTTAGTTTCCCAGGCCGCTCTCTGTGAAGATTAAACGTTATTTTACTTACCTTTTTGCCCCATGCCAGGATGGTCTTGCTGTGACTGGCCCCATCTCCATGGCTGAGATAATCAGTTTTGATGATCACAACTGCATTCATGGCAAAACACGGTGTTTCGCAAATCAGTATCTCCTCATAGAGATACATTGAATCAATTTATCTCTATGGTGAACATTCGGCATCTCCATGCAGAGACAACAGACGCTGAACGTAGGTGCTGCACACTGTGCATCTCTGACACAGGAAACACATATAGTGGCCATCTGAGTGACTTCCAATAGAAGTGTAACTAGCAATGTAAACCATGCCTTTTCCCTAAAAAGGCAGTGTAACATTAAGTTGTCATGTTTCTGGTGACTAAAGCGTCCCTTTAACACTTTGAACGTCAAAACTGTAGTAATTAGAATGAAATAACATTCACATTTATTAATGTTTACAGTGATATTTCTCCCAACTTACCTGTTAAACTTATCAAGACTTTCCTGTACAATAGTTTTTGCCAACCATATAATTGTTCTGTTGCCCTATATGCGACCAATTTACTAAAATCTGTATGGGCTTTCTCTCTTTTTCTATACGTGAAATATTTCTGACTGTAAAAACTGCAGTTGCTGCATCCATTTAACACAAATGCAAGGGTCTTACGCATATTCAGTTTCCTGAAGAGTGGTGCCAATCACATACGGTACATCACTATGGCCTTCAATCTTCTTCTTCCAAGCTTCAAGTGGAGCTACTGGAACCACATGCCCATCTACCACAGCCACTGGTCCAGCAAACCCTCCTTTCCGTGGTAAGTCACACAGGTCCTCAGCTGCCCAATCTGGGTACACGAACCATGGAATTGACTAGGAGTAAAAGAAGATACTAAAGAAAGGGTACAGATTCCCATTTGACTATGGTACACAAAACTCAATGGGTGCTCTGTATAAAAGACTAATATGACTTAATTTATTTTTTTTTTAATTTTTTTATGGAAGAGCAATCATGGCAACTAATAAAATGTTGCTGTTCTAGAACTTTGCCCCAGAATTGTTATTTATCCATACTGATATTTAAAAAAATTATTTATTCAATATGGAATGCTTTCTGTGAATTCTGTTGGTATGTTTGTGACTTTCAGTAACTAGGTCTGTTTCTTACCTGAAGGATCTTGGGCACACTCAGTTGTCGTAGACACTCTGCATCCTTGCATCCAGTCTTCTGCAGGAAAACTAGATTATTATTTTCTGCGTCAGCCAAACTAGCTTTGAATACTGAGGATCCACTTATATCGATTGCCCGATGGAAAAGGCCCTTGGCCAATGGAGACACCATCATAGCCCAAACTGAGGTTCCACCTTCAGTGCCAACAATAGAGTAAGACACTTTATTTATAAGAAGCCAACTAGAAGTTTCTGTATCCACTTTCATAACGAAGTAGGATTGGCAACATGATAAGCAAGCATATTATAGGTTGATGTTCCAGGAGGGATAAGCCAAATGGCAAATGATTTAGGTAAACTAGAAAAATGGTCAGAGTTGTGGCAACTGACATTTAATGTAGACAAGTGCAAGATAATGCATCTTGGACGTAAAAACCCAAGGGCAGAGTACAGAATATTTGATAGAGTCCTAACCTCAACATCTGAGGAAAGGGATTTAGGGGTGAATATTTCTGATGACTTAAAGGTAGGCAGACAATGTAACAGAGCAGCAGGAAATGCTAGCAGAATGCTTGGTTGTATAGGGAGAGGTATTAGCAGTAGAAAGAGGGATGTGCTCATGCCATTGTACAGAACACTGGTGAGACCTCACTTGGAGTATTGTACACAGTACTGGAGACCGTATCTTCAGAAGGATATTGATACCTTAGAGAGGGTTCAGAGAAGGGCTACTAAACTGGTTCATGGATTGAGGGATAAAACTTACCAGGAAAGGTTGAAGGATCTTAACATGTATAGCTTGGAGGAAAGACGAGACAGGGGGGATATGATAGAAACATTTAAATATATAAAGGGAATCAACACAGTAAAGGAGGAGACTATATTTAAAAGAAGAAAAACTACCACAACAAGAGGACATAGTCTTAAATTAGAGGGACAAAGGTTTAAAAATAATATCAGGAAGTATTACTTTACTGAGAGGGTAGTGGATGCATGGAATAGCCTTCCAGCTGAAGTGGTAGAGGTTAACACAGTAAAGGAGTTTAAGCATGCATGGGATAGGCATAAGGCTATCCTAACTATAAGATAAGGCTAGGGACTAATGAAAGTATTTAGAAAATTGGGCAGACTAGATGGGCCGAATGGTTCTTATCTGCCGTCACATTCTATGTTTCTATGTTTCTATTCTGAGCGTAACAAAAATCACATTCAATTTAAATGTTGGTATATCACAAAGTACATTTTTAAAATATACAGCATGTGGCCATATATCACCTGAAGATGCTTTACAGTGATCTTGTATTTATTTTTAATAGCATTACCTGAACTCTGGCCATAGATGGTCACCTTATTTGGGTCGCCACCAAAGTGCTGGATGTTACTCTGTACCCATCGAAGAGCAGCCACCTGGTCCATGAAGCCATAATTACCTTAAATTGAAGGCGTTAAGGAACCACATTATGATAGAGATCATAGCGATTGCAAGGACAGAGAAAGACACGGAGAGAAGAGGTAATGATCATTGTATAGGCCTGAGAACCGAAGATAAAACTCATCAGTAAGAATTGGTTAATTAGAGGTTAAGTGGTAGTGAGTATGACTGATAAGTGAGAGTGAAAACAATATGAAGGAGGATAGGTGGCAGTTGGTCCTCAAGGTTTTGGGGTTGTAGTTCCAGGTGGATGGAAGATAAGTGTTGGTGACTACACATGTGGAAAATTAAGTACAGGGAAGAGTGAGACTAGTATCGGTTTTCTCTGTTTTTGAAGAGGTTATGTTTTAACAAGGGGTTCACCACTCACCAGATGTGTTGCTTGGGGAACCTTCCCTCAGTAGCTCCAGTGCCATGAATCCAAAAGCATTGAGACGGTAGTTGAAGCTGACATGGACAACCTGTCCATGCTCAGTCAAGTCTTCTGTTGGACAGTATCCAGGTTCTGATCCACTCAGTATGTGCAGATAACCTCCGTGAAACCAAACCATAACTGGTAACTTAGAATCAGAGTTCATGGTTGGAGTCCAGACATTCACATACAAGCAATCTTCTGAGCCCATGACTTTACCATCCTCTCCTACAGGCTGCACCTGAGCGCACATGGATCCAAATTTGGTTGTATCTAGAGTATTATTCCAACAAGTAGGCATCTGTGGAGGCCTCCAGCGTAATTTTCCTGTAGGCGGGCTGGCATAAGGGATTCCTTTAAACATATAAGCCATACCACAGTGCACACCACGAACTTTCCCACATTCTATAACTGCATCTACTGAGGTGCAGGCTGACTTCCCAGACAGGTACGACAATCCAGCAACGAGGAAACACAGGCCTAGACCACCTCCAATCACTGCCAGTGTTATTTTATAGTTTGGAAGTGCACATGAGGATCTGGAGACATTCATCTGCAATATTTCTTCTTCTTCTTCTTCTTCTTGTTCTTCTGCATCCGAGCCCACCAAAGGTTTGACCTCTGACTCCGAGGCATGTTCATTCAGTCTCACTGTCCGCCTGCCATAAAGAAAGTAGAAACCGGTTATTACAACTCAGAACCAAAAAGGGTTTGATTGGAGCTAGAGAGGACTTGTTAGAGGGTATGGTCTCCATCGTGACACAAACCTGCCAATAAAGGAGGAAGGCTGAACTTGATGGACGCATGTCTCTTTTCAGCTATGTAACTGTAAACAGTACTCTGCCTTCATAGTTTGTTTTGAGGGTTTTTAATTTAATTCGACTACCCCTTTTTATTTATTTTTTAAATTGTGGCAGTTTTTATGCTAGAATAGATGTCGGTGGTGTTAACAGGGATTTGTTTCTGTCATTGAATGTGTGTATTGGCCTTGTTCGTGATCGTCCGTATCAGCGTGTACCAATCACATGAACACTGAAACGTTACAATGTACCATTCATTTGGATTTATATCTAGACTTGGTCTGTATGATAACATGTGAATAAGAAGCATTTACTGACTGCGCTGAAAGATTTTTAAAATATCAACTCTTGTGAATGAAAGCAGTTTTGCTAAGTCTACATTTCCTTTTGAATATTGATTCATTCACAGGGAAGGCTTTGGCAGATGGCCTTTATTATTGGTTCATCAGTCCTGTTTCCATGTCATTGGCTGGTTTATGCTCATGATGGGCCCTGGAAGCTCTCTCAAGGTAGAACCCTGAGTAGGCACTCTATTCTATCACTGCTTGTAGCATGTCCTTAAGGGGACATTTCACTGCCCAATTTCTTTCCTTTATTTTTTTCTTTAATCAATGTTTAGTACATATATCCTCAAACATGCATTGCGTTTAACCCCTTAAGGACACATGACGGAAATATTCCATCATGATTGCATGTTATTCCAGAAGTTGTGTCCTTAAGGGGTTAATTATGCATTGGAAGGTAAGGCTACCAGATTTCAAATGTACCAGGAGATAACTTGTGAGAAAGCTGTAATCTTAAACCTTGTAGTATGACTAAAGGGGTATACAGGAAAAGTGCTACCCCCAATGCTGCAGGACAGTAAACTGATGAAATACCAAAGCCTAAACACCCCCTCCCCCCCATAAATAAAGGTATATAAATACATCAAACGCTGTATCAGAAGCTCGAGTAATATGCACTATAGCAGGTTTCTGTAACCAATTGTTCTACAGTAGACTTGAGCTATTGATATTTAATAATCTCTCTAACCGGGGCAGTGCAGCCTTGTGTTGCTGGAGAGGAGTTCCTGTAACTCCGGCCTACACGTCCACCCAGTGCAGACTGAAAGTATTCAGCCCACAAACACCCGCCATTAACAGTTGCACCCCTTAAATTCAGGTACATGAACCCCATGCCATGTACATAAACTTATCATCATTATGTTACTGGTTAATTTGCTTTTTACTTCTAAATTTATACTTAAAATATATGGGTGCGTCTTATATTCTGAAAAATTAAAAGTGCGTGTGTTGTCTGAAGACGAAAACTGTTATGCTAACGGTTAAAATTACAATTTGGGAGATTAAATAAAGTATATCCCCACTCTGTGATCAGACAAGCAAATTCCCCTTCAGCCCAACCATTTATATGGAAATAAGGCATAATATAAAATAATAAAGGGGTCCCAACACATTTTATCTTTCACTGAGGAAGTCTACACAATAGACGAAACGCGTTGGGACTCCTTTTATTATTGTGTCTAAGGGAGATTAATCTATCCCTGACTATTTGGCAGCCAATCATCCTCTCATAATAGAAAATAAATAAATAAAATAAATTATATATAGCATAACGTTAAGAGTAGAAGCGTAGAATAGCTAAATTATCATCAGTCAAAAAGCAAAGGGAAGGTTCTGCTTTTACAAGTCGAGAAGCAATACCTACGAGGTTTTGTAGTCTCTGTATATTATAAGTAAACAATCGTCACAACGTGCCAAACATTGGTGTGTGCAGCATAATTTATTAAGGTGTGTACCCAGACGGAGGCGTTACCTGTTACTTGGCACCCAGGGTGAAACTGCATGTTGGCACCTTCCTCCCCACCTCACCCCTGAATGGTAACTTTTAGTGCTCTGCGCCACACCTTGAGTGTATTTGTTGACCCTCATTGTGTGCTTCTCCTAATCCCCTCTTACCTCCTTACATGTGTTTTTATCCACCCCCCCCATACCCGTCTGTTTCGTACCTTCCTTTACACATTTTATGTCCCCAACTCTCTTTCATCCCCCGTTTTTGTGCTTCATTCCCTTTTTGCCCCTTCGGTGCCTCTTAACCCCTTCCTTTTACTCTACCACCCATTGTACCGCGGCCTTACGGGAACATGGTAGAGAATCTCCATTATCCTCTGTTTCATGTGACTGGGAGCTGAGCATCGTATCCAAACCCCGTCCTCTCTGCTTGCTGTGAGCAGGTCACGGTCCGTCCGGCAGATGACAATGGAGATACTCTATAGCACTCTCGTAATTTTATGCTATAAAACGGTGACAGGTGCGCAGAGCACCATCGGTCACTCGGGGCGGACCCTGACCTACTGGTACACCATTGTTCACTAATTCATTAGCAACATTTCTATTGCTTAAACTAACTAAAACACAATGAGTGTGTGTGAGGGGGCATGGAGGGGGGCTATTGGTGCACCTGTGTGAAGGTGGTACCTTTTTTACTTTTTTGAAAAGGTGAATAACAATACACCATTCTTTTTGTGCTCTATTTGTGTTGCAAAAATGAACGCTTGCACTGGTTTGGTTTTGGAGATATTGCGCATTGTTTATGTCCATCCCTGTGCACTTTGTATCCCATGCTATTAAATTGAAAATAAAATACACCGGTTCAGGTCCAAAATTCAGTGGGCTCCTTCCAACAAACATGGGACTTAGAGCCACCTGAGGAAGAAAGGAAATAAACATATGGGAGCACCCCTGGTCTCGGTGCCCCCACATCTCTCTGACACTGGTGCAAATTGGGCAGAATTTGAAATATAACGGCAATATCTCTTAAACATAACAGACACAAACGTTAATTTTTGTGGCAGAAATCAGGACAAACTCAGCACAAACAATTTATTTATAAATTTCATAACATGGAGTGCAAGGTGGGCAGGGTGTGATCAAATATAATGCGTAATATCTCCAAAACCAAACCGGCATAAATACTCAAAAATGCAGCACAAATGAACTGTATCGTTTTATTCACCTTTCAAAAACATGGGGCCTTCCAACACCTGGCAACTTTCAAGCAAGTTATAAGTTTTGCAGATGTGTGGTGTGGCTGTGCATGATCTTTGTGTGTGTGTTTTTTCTTTGGCTTTTGTCTTTGGCTGTGTGAGAGTAGGTGTGTGTGTGTGTGTGTGTGTGTGTGTGAAGAAGCTGTATGTTGTGTCCAACCTTTCCACGCATTACAATTTTTGTATTAAATTATTACAGATGTTATCCATGGCGCTCCATTGAGGGGAGCTTCGCACCCCAACAGTTGCAGGTCTCCGTAAATGCTCCTTGCACTTTAGGATCACAAGGGCACACGCGCACCGTGATTTGCACTCAGCCAAGGTGCAGACCACAAGCTCTCTTACAGCAATAAGGGGGTTCAGGGCCAGCCGGAGAGATCTTTTCATCTCTATGCCGGCTCATGCATCATCAGGGTGCCCCTAATAGCCATCTCCTTGCCACCATATTTCTTGCTCTCCTCCTGGCCACTACATCGTCTTACTGTTTTAGTCTTGTGCATGCAAAACACAAAGCAAGGTCTAAATAGGAGACCGTGAGATAATAGATAATCACAAGTATGGGTAGATGCAACGATGCCTGTTCCCATCAGCCGTGACTGATAACCGACTAACAGGAAATTAAAGAAATCCCAATACAGGCAAAACTGGCTTCTTATAAGCCTTCTATCTTCATAAAAAGAAACCCAGTACATTGTATACGATGCATTATTGCTCTTTGTTGTATATCACATTGTATACAATACATTATTGCTCTTTGTTCTATGCCCCGTATTTTGTGCCGTATGAATTCTGCCGCATTGACGTTTCATATTTTCATTTCAGTTTTAAAATCTTAAAGATTTTTTTTCATACTGGTCACTTTGATATTTGCACCCAAATTTGGAGGATATTGTGGCGTATTATATTGATCCACACTCTGGGTTATTCATTAAAGATGAATTGTCAGATATTCCAAGAAACTCAAACCGTAGCCCGACTTGGAGAATCTATTTTGGCCTAAAAAGAGACTCTCACTTTTAGTTCCTGACAAGTCATACTTGAGTAAATAACCTTGTATAAAAGTGCAGGCATGTCGGGGGCGGAGCCTGACTAGCGAACTGGGCAGACATGCTCTGAACCAGCTCCGGTGCACGAGCATAAAAACAGTGGATAAATCAAGCTAAACTGCGCTCACCCTTCTACAAGTGGGCCCACTGGACTTGGGGAAACTGGCCTGAACCCAGGGACACCACACCCGATGTCCGGGGTAAACGGGCACCGTATCGGCAGACTGAGGCCTACAGACGGAGGCGGCAGAGAAAGATATCTGCGTTCCCGCCAGATGCACACAGCCAACAGTAAGCTCATAGCACAACCTCCCCACCCCCCTTATGGACCAGTGGGGGTCATCCCGGTCCCCCTGTACAACGAGGGCAACTTGGCAAAGACTCGCTGCAGGCATAAACCTGTAACGCTAAGGGGAAACTCGGTGGAAGAAGCTCCTAAAATTGTGGAGGTAGCAAGCTCCTTCAGGATCCTAAGCAAGCAGCCAGGGGTGGAGCACCGACTAGACAGGGCTTTCTAAGTATTCTGGGAGAAACTGGAAGCTTTACTGTCCCCAGTGATGGTGCCCGACACCCGAAAGCACACTCACCTAAGTAGAACCAAACAAAAGAAGGCAAAGTCACCTCGGGCACCGAGTCTCCCAGTGAGACGGAAGCTGCGAGAAATTAGCGGACAACAGGTAACCGGAGACCCGACAAGCGGCAAAAGGAGCAAGGCGACAGCCTCTGGGATCTGGCAAGTAAAGGTGCAGAAGGACACTAGTCTGACATCCTGCATACCTGATGATGATGGTCCGTCACTGGGAGGAACGCACAGAAGATACGCACGCACCGCACCAGACCTGACAGGCAGTAATCAAAGCAGCACGACCTTACCTGCTGCAGTCCACGCTGCACATCGAGTAGCTGAGCGGCTGCACACATTGTGGGTCAAAACCAGAGTGGACCCCCAACGCGGGGGCATCATTGAAAAGTCCTACCGCAGCAAGGAGCGCTTACCCTGGTCACGGGACTCTGTCCGCCCCCTAGAGGGCATAGGCTAAGCGGGGGTCCACTGGTCATTCCCTGAACCTCGGAGGTGATAACATGCAAGTCTCGCACACGAGGGACGCTATCCTACCATTTTTACATTGTTAAAGTTCTTTTTACTTAGTTCGCTCATCTTGACTTTTGTAAGGGGATACAAGTATACTTCATTCATGCTAATGAATAGGCTCTATCTCTCACTTAGCATATACACACGAGCTGATGAATAGGATGTTATACCAAACATACAGATATAACCCTTTTAATATGTCAAGCTGTGTGCAAAGCCATTATATTACTGTTTATTAGATAGGAGCAGGAATTAAGCTACGTTTACCCACTGTTTATAGTTCCTCTCAAAAAGCTAAAAAAATCAGCGACTGTTATATGCAAACATTTAAGAAAAGAACAGCTAAGGTTTAAGCAGATATAGTACCTTTAGTGTGTCAAGCTAGGTGCAAAACCATTAAAATACTGTTTGTTAGATAGAAACAGGAATTAAGCTACGATTACCTATTGTTTATTTTGACTCTTTTAAAAACTAAACATGTGCTGTCTGTTCATATGCCGCGTTATGTTTCAACTGTTCGTTACCTTATTATTTGTGACTGCTATTGTGGCTGGGTAAGCCCATTGTCATACCATGCACAACAGAAAATAATTTAAAAAATAAATAAAATGCAGGCATGTCTATTAAACTGTGTGTTTGTAAAATACAAAAATTTGGCTACACTCAGGGCCTTGAATAGGTGCACTTTCTTTATTCAAACTACATAGAATCCAGAGATCGACGTTTCAGTCCCTCCTGGGACTTTCATCAGGATAAAGATAAATCGTGTTTGTAGATCCGTAACGTGCCTCCATGTCTGAAACACTCCACATATTGTGTGCTGGTACCTAAAGTGCTAACATTGTAATGCATAAAATAAACCTAATGGTTTTATACAGAAACGTCAGTATATTGGACTGAGCACAAGTTGTTAGGCAAAGACTATTATCCTGGTTCATCATCTGTCATGAAGGTGTTAATACAGGCTTGCTAAGAGCCTTCGCACACATGGAATTCTCACAAAAGAGGGATGGTTAACCATCTGGTCCCCTGGTTGCTCCTAGTCCCCCTGCCCCCCGAATCAGCCACCAGCCTTCCAGAATCATATTTACTCACTTGTCTACGTTCTCCATGCTGCAGTTATGGCTGGGATCAGAACCCAGCTCCTCCCGCACAACTCCCAACAGCCGAGCAAGATTCAACCTTTGTGCCTTGCCCCTGTCACCAAACGCCACCCTCTGCTTACTTCTAGTGCGTGTGTCAGTTTATTGCCTGAGGCTCCTGTGTCTCAGCTTAACAGGAATGAAAACATTGAAAAGTTGTTCATCCAAATAGCATCGTGATTTATGTGTCAATCCAGCTCCATTATAATTAATATATTTCTCAATGCTGGTTGGTGTATAATCATTAAAAAAAAAAATAAAAAAAATAAAAAAAAAATTATGAGAAATCCAAAAATGTAACTTTCCTTTAGGAATTGGTAATTGTAGAAAACTCACAAGAAAAGTGCATATTTTAGACCAAAGCGACAGAGTTGTATTAACTCAGAGGCCCTGAGCACAATTTAATATAATACAATAAGTTTCATTATTTATATGTATGAATATATAGCCCTCGCATGGTCAGATAGTTACCCCCTTTGCAGCAGTTCCTCCCTACCGCGGACCTCCTTGGCACTTTTAAAATTCCACTGAACGCTTTGATAATTGGCACACTGATATCAAGTAGGTGATCCCAAGTTGTGAAACCAGTCACATAAACAGTAAGTTATATACGATGCAGCGTCCTATGTATCAATTTCTTAAAACACTGTATAGGCTGGACAATGCAGGGAACAAACTCGGGACAGCAGGACAAGACCCTGAAATAGTGACTGTTCTATCAAAATCAGGACGGTTGGGAGGTCTATGTATGTATACCCTCAGTGGCAAGAGGAATTCGCCCTCTATTTACATAAAGTGGTATGGTAAAGCGAAACCCCCATACTTATCCGTTATTGCCTGTTCGCTGCCTGTCTGACTATTCTTCTGGATTTGCCCTCGTCTCTACTGCGTATTGGAAACACCTTTCATGCACAGCCCCCATGCACAGATTCACAGTCCTGGTGGTTTCTAACCTTATCACCTTGGGCTGTGTATATCTGCAAGGGTGAGCACAAATCTCTGCCTACCAGACTCCCTACTAAGGGAAGCCGTGACAATAGGAGAACAAAATGAGCACCGAGTTTGTGGAAATACATATAGATATGTATACTGAAATAGTGTTTAACCTATCGCGCAGGCGTAATTATTAACAACAACCGTGTGTGACTACTTGGTAATAGTATCTTGTGAACAGCATCCCAGACAACTGGAAAAAGTTTTAATAGACTACAATCAAATGGTGCATGTAAAACCATACGAATGTATCTGTGAATTGAACCATGCGTTGGATTGAAAATAATGCTAATAATAGTGCTAATAAGTGAACACATTTATTTTATTTTTTTTAAAGTGCAAATGGAGATCATGAGGGGAAAATTTGTGAAGACCCAGCTAGGTCTAAGGAACTAAAATCATTAAATACGTGCAGGAAAACCGAACAGACGTGCCTGCAAGAACTAAGTTGCATTTAGCAAATGCTAAACCGAACAGTTAAACTGTACCAAGCCTCATGAATTGAACAAACACGCGAACCGTGAATTTATGAGAATGACCAACCGAACAGCTGAAAACGAAAGATAAAGTGTCAGCGTCTAAGTAGTCTAAAAATTAAACGAATGAGCATATGATTCAACCGACGTACGAACGGGAAAGTACACGAACATACGGCTTGAATCAAACGTGAGTAAGAATCACAGGGATAATTATACGAAGCTTAACTAACGGTAATAAATGAATGGTAAAAGATTATGCGAACAACGGGAGCCAAGCCCCGCGTTTGGTAGGCCAGAACGTGGGAACACAGCTCAAGGATGTTCCCATGAGTTCATACGTAAGTGTGCTTGGTCTCGTGGCCGGAAGCCACTGTCTGCAATACTGGAACGGAGTCGGAGGCAGAGAAGGCCAGAACTTCGAGTTGGAGCAGTGAAATTTTGTGGGAAAGACCGGAACGGAAGTGCTGGTTGTCGTGGCAACCTCTCACTCAAACAGGAAACGGCATAGGTAAGCAGGGGGTTAGAGTTTATATAGGGAAAACTCCTTCCACAAATTCAGGCCTATGGCCATATATATATTAATTAATGGGACACTACAGTGTCCAAATACAAAATATATAAATCACTGTTTAGCAGATATACAGCAAATGAAAACTTGCATGCATCTTATAGAGTTTTTGTTGCATTAAGTTATACATAAAAGCAACTTTAAAAGCTTCAGATCTCTTGTCTGCAGCCTTTGCTAGCCCTCCCCTTCACACCAGCCCAGACTTTCCATAGCTGTCCAATCACAGACTTCCCAATGCAGCTCAATGAGAAGTCTCTTTGTTAGACAGGTGCTCTGGGCAATTGCTGCCTCTTGAGTTTAGCTCCACTGAGCTAAACAAACCAGGAAGTAACAGGACTGGTTGTCTGATTGACAGCCAAGGGCGTGTAACTAGGTTAATTTATATAAGTGCCAATTTCTATTGAAATCTGAACTTTTTGTAAAATGTGAAAAAAAATAGGATGCGCTCCGATGCTAGTCACTCGTCGAATGTCCCTTTAAGAAAGCTAACTTTTTTTCTTTCCTTTTAAGTGATGCTCTGACAACTATAACCACTATGTGGTGCAAATGGTGCACTTATAGTACCAAAAGCCCTTACCTGCTGCTCAGAAAATGCAAAAGTGTAATTTCTGTATTAACTGTACAAAGCTGTGTTGACAGGATTGGAGCTCTGGGATAAGTTAACAATTATTTTACTGAGAATGTCCCTTTACACAGGCTGTCACTCACCTCCATGAGATTTTTTGCACAGCGCAGTAGCTAACTGAAGTACGGGTAATTTACATGCCATGGCTGACTAGGGTGTGACATTAACTCCCACAGTGCTGTAAACCTCATCGATGAAGAAATGACTGGGTGCCATGTGATCGCACTGCATTTATGTGCAGAGAGCTCATTAGTGCTATTTCATTCAGTAAATGCTTGAATTTACTTGGAATTCCTGACCGTTCTCACCTTGGTGAATAAAGCCTGCTGACAAGGGAACAGCTAAAAATAGTTTTTGTTTCCACCTACATTTGAATTTCTATTTTAAAAGTGGAAATGATACAGGGCAAGTTATCAGGCCAGACTGGAAACTGGGAAAACCTGCCAAACGCACGATGGCCACAGGATGAGGCCAACAGGGGAAATCAACAGTTTTCCCTTGCCAACCCATGCAAGGTACAACTAGCTCAAAGACGACTCTGTGTCCCATTGTGGACCGCTGGGTGCAGAACGTGTATTTATGTGGCGCGTTTCGGCCAATCAGAGCATTGCCAAGGGTTACTACAGTAACCTAAAGGAGGTGTAGACATTAGAACTCTGGATACCAAGACCACTGGACCACCAGGGGTCAGCATGTCCCCCCTCCCTGAAAGGTAACCGTTGGGGGAGAATACATTCTTTTTAAATAGTTTTTTTTTAAATTAATATTTTTTTCATAGTATTCCACACTCCCTGACATTTTGGGGGGGTGGATTTAAAGCAACAGGCTCTCCACTATAAAAGGGCGCTTTTTGCCCTTGTCCAGTGCCCTATTGTGATTAATGTTTTGTTCACTCTAGTGCTGGCTTATTTCTGTTTGTGTATCTACATATTTGGACTTGGCTTGTGACTTTTGACTATTCTTAGTTCTGGTATTCTTCTTATTATCTGGTTCCCTGACTCTGCTATTCATTATAGTTATCCTGATATCTGATTTCCCTTATCCTTGGCTATCCTCGACTATTCTATCTCTGTTAAACCCGGCCATTCTAAGGTCCGGTAATATGTTTTCTGTTTGGGTTATACTTCGCGTGTTTGGGTCACTTGTTGTGGCATTATTTCTAACGGGCCTCTTCCTAGATCTGAGAGAGATAAGAGAAAAACAGAAACTTGGTGACAAGTCCACAACCGTGTGAGAGACCTGAGAAATATCCAGTCTTACAGTACCCTTATCTGGGGTTGCCAAATTAGGGAGCCATCTGCTTAACAGCATCCTTATTTGGTTTCCTTTGGAATAGTGGGACTAATAGCGTGCAAATCTTTTCCAAATTCAAAAATTAACAAAACTATTTTTTTTATTTTTTTTTGCCTGTAAACATCTCTACAGGATATGTCCAATGGGTTCTGACCCAGATCAAGAGACAGCCCAGAACCCCCTCACCAAGGTCATACCCAACCACTGGTGGTCTGCAGACGTGCTGGAGCTGAGCCACTTGACACAAAGCTTCCATCTGAGTTAGATTTAGAGCTGGGGGATCTGTACAATGACCTACGGTAGTAAAGTAACTCGGCCTTTCAATGATATCCATAATTTAAAAAAAATCAAAAAGAGACAATAATAGAACATATTGCCTTAACTATCACATCAATAACAGTAATGATGAGAAGTAGGACAACAAACATTTAAAGAATTTCACAATATTTCCGTAAGCTGCAAGTAACTTGCTGGACCGGTAACCACTCCCTTCGCAAGAAATTAAAATAAAATCCAGTATCTGGCTGTGAAGTTTTTACTTGGCAGATATACAGCTGAAACTTGGTTACATCCTATGTACACCGCACTGCAGGATTAGGACAACACAAACATTGTGCATTGATGGACAAATATAAAGACTTATTACATCCTAGTTTGAGCTAATGGTGAGATACTGCTGGATTTAGATGTCTCTTTATAGAATGTTTTTACTCTTTTTAGGTCTTTTTAGGTCGAAAGTGGTTTTAGACCAGCTAGAAAACAGCGATGGTGAATTAGAATCACTTACAGAATTGAGCGATTAGTGATTCATGGGAAAATTCATCAACACTGTAAGTGACGACAGCGACGATTCTGCGACTGAGCTCAGTGATATGCAAACTTGGTGCTCTATTGACTGTGGTATGGATCAGGCAGCGCCCCCAAGATTACCATTTGCTGAACCATCTGGTATGAAAGACATTGAACACCACAACCCCCTGGCAAACTAACAATTATTTCTGACCCGTGAGGTTATTGGAAAACATATTGGCAAAAATAGTTACTGAGACAAACCGGTTCAAAGAGCAACAATTAGCTACTCTGCATGGGAAGTTTTCAAGAAGCCGAAAGTGGGAACCAGTGACCGAAGATGACATTTGGACATTTCTGGGACTAATAATACTAAGGAGGCGTGGTATTGGACAATTAATAAATTACTTGCCACTCCATTCTTTCGTACGGTCATGTCAGGGTACAGATTTTCCCTGATCATGACATTTTTATACTAAAAAAAAAAAAATGAATTTGATGAAACGACTCATCCTGCACTAAAACTAAAGGGAAAACTGGGAAGTATCTCAAATGATTCTAAATAATTTCCAATGGAGCTATGTGCCAGAAAGAAATATCAGCATAGATGAAAGTCTAATGGCCTACAAGGAAAGGCTCAGCTGGGTACAATACATTGCATCAAAGAGAAAATCCTACATGCTATGCGAATCGTCAACTGGCTACATTTGGAATTCAGTCATTTACGCTGGAAAAGGAACAAAATTCAATCCAAAATACAGCCGCTATGGAATGGCAGCATCTTCTGTTAATTCACTCATTGAGCTATTGCTAAATCAGGGCTATTGCGTAACCCCCGACAACTTTTATACGTCTCCTCCTGAATTTTGCGTTTCTTCTGCAAAACAAAACGATGCCTTTGGAACCATTAGGGCTAACCTGCGTGACATGCCACCAATGTTTGGCAATAAGAAGCTGAAGACTGGAGAAATGGTTGCCTGGCAAAAAGGCAAAATGATGGCACTGCGATGGCGTGACGAGAAAGATGTGTGCCTAATGAGTACAGTTCATAATACCTCCACTGTTATGGTACGCATGAAAGGTGGGAAAGAAATTATGAAGCCACAAGTAGTGATCGACTACAATAACACCATAGGGGGTGTCGACAGAGGCGACCAAGCAATGACATTCTACCCAGCAATGAGGAAACAGCAAAATAAGTAATACAAGAAGATCTTCGGGCATCTTCTTGATCAATGCTTGTGAAATGCCAACATTTTGTTAAAAAAAAAAAAAAAAAAAAAAGGGAGAAGCCTGTGATTCATTCTAACTTCATTTGGAAAGTTGCCGAACGTTTCTTTGTGAACCACTCAACACCATCAATGGCTGTGAATAGAGCTGGACGTTGTGCTGTTGGCGGTTGTCAACCCGGAACGCCTGACTGGTCGTCACTTCATGGACTACATCCCACCAACGGAGGAAAAAGTCAGCACCTACAATGTGCTGATGTGAGTGGTTTGTTGCTCGAAGCGAGATGACCGTGGATAGAAAATCACAAAGGAAACCAGGTTCCATTGTCCTGATTGTGATGTTGGAATTTGTGCAGTCTCATGTTTCAAAATTTTTCATACCCGGAATGTTTACTAAACCAATATGTAGTGTCTAGTATTACAATGACTAGTAATATTTCATCCTTGTTTGGACAAATTTCAGTGTTTTTGGTTTGATTACATTAGTTACTTTTATTATATGAATACCAATCAAAGGTTGCCTCTTTTTACAGAGGAGTGTGTATAACAAAAGTGCTCAAAAGAGTCAAAAAGTGATTTACAGGCAGCTCAATACACTAGTGTGGAAATATCCTCTATTCCACTGAATAAATTTAGTAGATATTGGTGCGGTGTAAGTGACAAGGACCTACACCTATAAGTGGAGCGCTCAAACACAGATAAATCTTACCAAAACGTAGTCTCATTCAATGGTAAAATATGGGGTACATGTCAACATAAAATACAGAAAATACAATATAGTGTAGACGGTACTAAAAAATGGCTTCACAGTGATTATAATAATATTGTGTTGAATATTACACTCACATTTCAAGGAGCCTGTATATAGAAAACACTGGCTCCGTATAAAGGCTTGTGTGCTGTTATGGTAGCACCACCCTCCTACTTCGGCTTGAAGAATT